ATATTTGCTTAGAACCACAGATAGAGCAATCATAAATTCTGCCCCGGGTGAAGTAACAGGAAACAGATGACAGATTTCTCTTTTCTTTAAGATTCTGAACCAAGCAACAATAATATCACTGGGAAGAAAATGTAGAAATGAACTTCGATGAGAAGAATGACCCATGAAGTAGGGAGTAGAGAGGAAATAAATGGTAATTTGGAGACAGCAGCACAAACCAAAGATCAAAAACAGTGTGAGATTAAGGCATAAAATACTGATATTACAACAGCAACGATTCATGGGCTGGGAAACACAACAGGAAGCACAATGCATGAAGCAATCCAGCGGAATGACAAAGCGGAATTCTCAGACCAGTTACTCAACAGCTGGAAAGCACCTGGTATAGACACCAAAAACAGACAGAAATGGCCATTAAAGAGAGACATAGCTGGAACAGAATTTAGTCACTGAACCACCAAAAACTGACAGAATCATTAAAAAATGTAGCATTGGATTCCTAGTGGGAAAAAATGCTTGATTCGTGATCCAAAAAAACCGAGCCTGAAATGCAGGCCAGAGGCTCCAGTGCTGACAGTATTTTGAACATGACAGAATGTAATATCCATTTTCTAACCACTTTTCCTGATGCTTGTAATATGAAATCCTATAATACAATGCAATCTAACCCTAAAGTCAATCATATAACCCATAATGGGATGCTACATCAAAATAATCTCCCTACTGTAAGACAAGTCTGCTTTTCACCACTTACTGATTTGTTGTTATTTGCTATAAATCACAACAGCAGCTAATGAACGGTTATGATGGATGCAGTAAACACATGAATCTTAAGCCAAATGCTCTTTCTCAGCCAGAATTCATGTGATAGGACTTTTCTTACAGTAGAACAATGCTGCGGAGTGTTTGTCGGACTTAAGCAGGAACCCTGGTCCAGGATGACTGATGACATTTAATTTTTCACAAACTCCGTACTGCAGCTCAAATGCATTCTGGGTATTTTGTGCCTGAAAACCACGAGACACTAGAAAGACGTACCTACCCACACACAGCTCCGGAGGTGTGAAGCAGTCATGGTACCTATTCAGCCAGTGGGTGCATCACATGGTATTAGGAAATAGTATAAAAACGAAAATTGAGATCTGCAGCTGTAATACAACAGGGTGGGGGGTGGCATGTGGCTCAGCAGGCTAAGCCTCTGGTTCTGCGATCAGAATGTTGCCAGTTCAAGCCCAGCTTCAGCAGAATAGCCACATGCCCATGGGCCCTTGAGCAAGGCCCTTAACCCACAGCTCCATGCTCACTTACAAACATGTCATGGAGAGCAAGATGGGGCAGGCAAAAAGAAAATTCCTCTACAAGGATCAATAAAGTGTTATAACTTTTATTGTGGAAAATGCAGATGCAGTGCACTTATCTATAAAATGGTCATTCTCACAAAGTAACAACAGTTGTTCACTTATATAGATTCATAATACAATTAATGCAAAAGACATATTTCATTTATAATCAGTTGTGAAAGGCTTTTAATCAAGATACTTGGCAGGGCTGCTTTGTAGTTTATAAAGCCTAAATCCATTCTGCACAGATTTAATACTTAGGAAAACACAGTCTGTGGCTGCATTATGTTATATCCTCTTAATTCTCAGTCTGTGGCTCAGGGCTAAACGTGGTTAATATGTTAACTAAATATGGACTAAACCTAGCATATATATATATATTGTATAACTTAATTTTTTGTTGCAAATCACAATGTAGAGTATATACTGAAAATAATCGTGAAATGTCCTACAACATGTTCTCTGAACAACAAATACAATGAGAACTGATGTTAAATTTCTGTACATGTTCATGAAAGTTCATTGAAATGTATTTTGAAAGCATGTTTCAAAAGGCAATTCCAAGTGCAGACTTAAGAACATTTATACACACACATACATGTTTGTATTCTTATCTTTGTGGGGACTCCATTCTAATCTCTAATCCCAACATGACGACCTTAACCCCTACCCAGCCCTAACCCTAACCATAAGTAACCAAACAAAATACAAGACGTGTGGGACTTTTAGTTTTTTAATTGCAGTCACTGATTTTTATTAAATTGAGTTTCCCCTTCTGGGAACCGAAAAATGGTCCCCACAACGTCAAAATAAAAGGGTTTTATCACATTGTGGGGACATTTGGTCCCCACAATGTAGTGTATACCTGGACTACACACACACAGACACACACACACACACACACACACACACACACGCATGATTCTGAAAGACCACCTCAGGTTAAGCTGAACCTGTCCTGAGGAAACTGAGGAGATTATGACTTAGACATCTGCTCTTGAATGCTTTACACACAGCAGAAGATAATCCCAAACCTATGTATATACCCTGAAAGCAGGCCAACTTTATTAACATGGAGCCCAGCTAAAAAAATCATAACGGACTATTAGCTTAGATGCTAATGTCTCAGCATTACAGATCTGAAAGCCTGTTAGCGTGCCAGTGCATCACACACCCTCTATTTGATTTCTGCAAAATTAAATGACCGTGACCTTTCGCTCCTTTAAATCACTCAAGATGTCCCAAATCCACAGAGCACCACTTAAAACTAAGTCAAATGTCTCAGGGTTGGATGGAAGAATTGTAACGAAACCATGTTGTGATTTCCCAGTGCAAATAGAACGTCTATAAAATTAATATACACTTAAATTCATAGATTTCAAAATGGAAAGAATAACATGAAACTTGAGAAAATGAACAAGGTGCAGTTTTCACCAAAGTATTTATTTAACTGTTTCAGGTGTAACAGACATGTGACGGGATCTCCACTGACTCTGCCTGATTGTGTGAGTTCTGTTTTTTCATATGTGTGAGACAGGAAGTGCATGTAATCATTTTTGCGTTTTAAAAGAAGACTGACCTCCAGGCAGCTTTGCAATTTACTGTGGCACTGTCTTCTCGTGCTTCTGACAGTGGTCCAAATTGTGACCATTTCTAAAAAAAAAAAACACTAAAAGACTGGTCCACATGACTTAGGGACGAGAATGCCCAGCAATTTGGCGACTCCTGTGGACCACAGAAGTTGGCCAGCAGGGGGCATCATTGTTAAGATATTGAACTCGACCCCCTACTGGCCTGAACATCCAATCTCAACCTAAAGGGCAGCAGTTTTAGTGACAGCATGGTGTGCTCTACCAAGTCTGAATCAGCCCCTGCACACATAGTGTCCAGCTATGGAATGCCAGCTTAATAAACATATAATATAAATTTGTGATAATAGTCTAACACATAGGTCCAACAGGGTCTTAGTAGAATAACAAATGCATGAATGAACAAAGCATGAAAGCTTTGTCAATAACCTCTGAGGTGAAAGAGGATCCCGGTAGCATGAGGGCAGTGTGTGCCCTCCTTTAGCAGTGCTAGAAAGTCAGTTTGGGAAATGAATTTCATAGCCGCTCACAGAAAAAAAAATGCTTCTGCTATTTCTTTGACGTACTTTGGTCTGTACGTCACGGGAAGTACAGTTATACCGGAATATTGCCGAATATTTGCCCAAGACAACATGTGTAACTGAAACCAAGACAATGGCCAGTTGTAAAATGCTTGCTGTCACTAATTTAGTCACCATACTTGTGCCGTGTCATGCTTCTAAACTATCACTATAACACTGCATCACCCCTCCATGTAGAACCTCATGGGGGCGACTCTGCTGCACCCTCTTTTCAAGGGAAAAAAATGAGTATTTGACTCCCTCACAGATGACTTGCAACAAAGGAAAGACTGAGGCCAGAATATGACCTTCCTGGGCAAGTCTAGCTATTTACAAAGAGAAGGATTCGGACAGTAAGCATCCTCAGCAAATGTACAGACAGAGGAGAAGCCCTGTCACTGTGTTGTGTATACACACTGTATCCTTTATATACACTGTAAGTAAAAACTCACTCTGTTTGATGGATGGGGGGGAGGCAAACGTCCTGGAGATGCTGCCACTCTGGCAAAGTCTTTCTCCCACAGCATGTGATTTTAATCTATACTTGCAATCCTACACCGCATTTCCAAGGCCAATAAATTTCAACACAGTTGTCAACACGCCCTCAAGGCACTGAAATGCAAACTATTTATAGTTCAAGCCCCAGATTTTCGGTCGGGCCAATTTGGGGGGAGTTACAGTTGACTGGAGTAAATTAAATGAAAAACAGGATTCGAAAGCAAAAAAAGAGGATCTCTGATATTTTAATTCGTTGTGTGTTTATTTAACTCTTGGTGGGGGGACTGTATCCAACAAGAGAAGAATCAAAGAGGCAGGGAATTAAATCTGTCTGAGTCCATGTTTGGCTCAGTTATTTGCAAGTCAAACATACCTCAGCATATTGAATCATTATCCTCTGAATATATATGCACTAAACACAATATTAAAAGCCTCTAACACTCATGAAAACATACATTTCTTTGAAGACCATCTTTTGGTCAATAGACTCAATACATTCTTCCATCTCTTTTCTAAACTAGTTACCTAAGGGAGGCTTTGCAGTAAAATTAAGGGTCATGTTAACATTCCCGTAATTTGGAAATAAGATAAAATGACACCATATTGGATAAACGGTTGGTTGGATTTGACGGATGAACTGTAAACTGTTCTATTTCAGATAAATGGCTTAAGCGGACGTGAGAGGGAAAATGGCAAATCTCAAAAATGTACGTATTTAGCACCATCTAGTGGTGAAATTCGACCAATTGTCAAAAATAACCAGAATGTCATTCTTCCATACAACAATGTCAATAACCCGTTACTAATGCTGATAATCATCTTGCAGCGCATATGAAATATTTTTTCCCGCTTATAAACTCTCCGGAACACTAATCTGCAAAAGAAAAATCAGCGATTTTAAAAGTTGTCAGATTACGAAACATTGATAGGAGTTAATTTTAGATGCATCCAGATTGCACTGCTTGGAACTCCACTCGGCGCTGTGACATTCGCGGAAATAATGTGACATTTACCTGTGCCGCCCCCCAGGCATAAATGTTGCTCGGATGCGCATTCCTGAAACGCTCCCGCGGCGTGTCCAGAAGATTCCGCACCTTCGGGATTTCGCGATGCGCCACTTTTGATTGGCCTTCCCGCTTCGGACATGATCCGCACCGCCTAGCGGCTGGGCGCCCTCGAAACGCCCACAGTCCGCTTAGACAGCAATGTCGTCATCGTGGCAAAACGCAAACTCTAACTCACTTTGCCCGCTTTAGTAACAGAAATCCATTCACAAGTTCTGGTAAATTCGTAAAATGGTAAATATACACTTGTGTTCAATTTATTTTGTTTTGTTACTTGCTGGTGAAACTCAAAATCTCCATCCGGAACTAAAGTAAAAAGAAATTGTTTGGAAGTCGGACCAATTTAATATCAGAACAAGGATACTGGATTACCACGTGAGTGTTTTTTTTTTATAGCATGTCGTTGAATGTGAGTGTGTTTGCAGCAAGTATTGAAAAGGTTTGGTGTTGAACAGTCTGAAATGTTAAATGTCTAGTACATAATAAAGTGCAAATCAGAGTGGATGTGCGTGAGACTTACTTTAATCTTCTAACGAGAGTTTTGATATGTATTACATTTACATTAACTTAGAGAAATACTGGGTATATTTATCTCTAACTTATCAGGTTTACATTTCCAAGTTGCATTCTCTGCCTATTGATGTTGCCTTTGCTTGAATATTTACAGAACAGTTGTTCGTGTGTTTACAGGAACTTTATAAATGTCCATAGCTGAACTGAAGACATGATTGTTGTTGAACCGGGGCTATATATCGGATCTACATCCGACCTCAAAGACTGTCAGGAACTGATTAATGCAGGAATCACCCACATACTCACCGTTGACTCGGAGAAACCCAATTTGCCAGAAGTGTTTAAGACAAAGTTTGTCCGTGCCTTGGACGAGGCGACTACCGATCTTCTCAGCTGTCTGGATGATTGTCTTCGTTTCATTCACGAGGGTATTGATGGAGCGTCTGGAGCAGTCCTCGTGCACTGGTGTGTATACGTCGACCTAGAACGCAAACATGACAGTGGTTGTATTATGGGAGATATATGTAAAGTTCCTGGTCACATCTTATCAACATCATTTCTTTCAGTCATGCAGGACAAAGTCGGAGCGCTGCTGTGGTTACTGCCTTCTTGATGAAATCAAAGCAATTAAACGCGATGGACGCTTATGCCAAACTACAGCAGATAAAATCAAATGTCAAGTAAGTTGTCTTTTTGTATTAGAGGTCAATGTATAGTGAGATTTCTTTTAATAGACAGGGACTCGATGGAGTTAACTGTAATTACTTCTATCATTATATGCATAATGTGCAAATAAACCATTTGTAAAATGTTAGTATTCCCTTACAGCAAACATCTGCTCCTCACATTTTACTAAATCAGCCATGCAATGTATTAAATTCTCCTCTGTTTATTTCCATTCATGTATTCCATGCTTTACCTATATGCCTAAAACCGTTACAAAGAATGAACGAGGAGTTTCTTCGCCAGCTAGAATTATTTGAATCAATGAACTGTGAGGTGGATGTCACCAGCCCAGTCTACAAACAATACAGACTCCAGAAAATCACAGAAAAATACCCAGGTACTTATTATAAATACAACTTTTAAAAGTCATTATGAATTTTGTATAATACATGTTATTACTTAATAATTTGTTCTGCTGCCCTATCTTGTAATGTACTGATGTAGTGTATGTTTTTTATGAGTGGGTCTTTGTGTATCCTGTGATGGACTAATATCCCATCTTGCATCCTCTCATCTCTTTTGACAGTATTTCCCAATCCGGTATTTGGGGACCCACAAACAGTCCACATTTTTGCTCCCTCCCAGCATTTGGGGACTGTTTGACAGGGAGCTCAGAGGAAGCAAAAACATGTACTGGCTGTGGGTCCCTGAGGACTGGACCGGGAAACACTGTCTTAGGCTACAGGCTAATTGTGACCCTAGATAAGAAATTGGAGATGGATGTTGTAGTTATGATTCGTGGCTCACTTTTTAAAGACATAAAATCATGTAACAGCAACAGCGAATATTTGTAGACTGGTGAGAAGCCCAGTAATTGCGTGTATCTGTCGTCTGTGATTGCAGAACTTCAAGCTGTTCCTAGGGAAATCTTTGCTGCCGATCCAGTGACAGACACGAGCAGTAGTGATGTCATCCACAGATGCAGGAAGTGTCGGTGGGTGTTCACTGCATCTTAATGACCCCCCCCTGTTCCCCAGCCACCTATGCTGTTTATTGTTGCAGTGTGTTCCTTTGCCATCCCCAGACGCACCGTGTTCCGCAGATCCAGTGTCCTCAGCCACACCCCCGGCGCGGGCCCCACGGCTTTTGGTCATAAGAAGGTGACCGGAGCCGCCACACAGGCCCCAGGGTGCGCTCAGACTCAGTGTACGTCCTACTTCATCGAGCCTGTGCAGTGGATGGAAGAAGCCCTGCTGGGTGTGATGGACGGACAGGTAGTGCTGGGACAGTTTTCCCTTTCTGTTATCTGTAACTGGGCATCACAATGGTGCAGTGATTACTGGTTTCCCTCACAGTTCATAAACATGCTCAGATGAATTGGAGTTGCCAAATTGTCAGTAGAGGTGAATGTTGGGTGACCACCTAATCCATGTCAGGTGGGACACTGGGCTGCTCCAGGTTTTAGAAACTACTGTAAAACTGAAAGGCTCTTGTTCTTGGCTAAATTATCGCTTCTTCTTGCACATTTATTGGTTTGTTTCCATGATACAAAGACTCATCCAGCTGTTATACATTAATATTATTAATATTATAAATGGTTTGCACTCATAGCTTCTGGGATAGATTCCAGACCCTTTTGACCCTAATTAGGACAGACGGGTACAGAAAATGGATGCATGGATGGATTTATTGTTTTTTTTTTCCCCCAACTGTACAGTTTAGATTTACAAATGTTATCCCCCCACCCACACACTATGTCTTAAGAAAAGAGCTCTGTTTTAAGGCAGCTGTTGTGTTTCAGCTCTTGTGCCCAAAATGCAACTCGAAACTCGGATCCTTTAACTGGTATGGTGAGCAGTGTTCCTGTGGCCGTTGGGTGACGCCCGCCTTCCAGATTCACAAGAACCGGGTGGATGAAATCAAGCACATCAGTGTGTCTGCACTGAAATGACACGTGGATCGCTCGTCTGAAGAATCGCTTTGCCATCACCAAACGATGTTTGTATCAGATGTCGACAGCTGTTGGCAGCTGCAAAACACCTTTCCCTTTCTGGTCTCATATTTTATCAAAAGCTGTATTCTCTTCCCATTACCGTTTCTGAGAGCTGTTTGTATAAATGTGTGTACATAGTATCAATAAATGCTGCACCTGAAAAAAACTTTTGAAAATGTAATACTTAGATTCCACTTATTTTTATAATAGCATTAAATCCTATTTTAGTTGCATAGTGCATATTTACACCATTAGGAAAAACTCTCTAGAAGGAAGAAACATTGGGAGGAACCGGACTCAAAGGGGTAGCCCATCCTCCAGGTAGTGTAGGGGTCGTAGGCAGAATATCTTGGTTTTTTTTTTGGGGAGGGCTGAAAATTGCATTAGTAGGGGATACTAGATGCAATGCAAATAGGTGAGTTTTTTGGAATTAATGTTACGAGGGATTTAACAGCCTAAACATAAGGTCTTCGACGGTCGGCTTAGTTTGTCCTTCGATGCGCTCCGTACAGCGCATCTGGGAGATGACGTGTATTTATCAGAAAAGCGGAATTCTCGCGAGTGTCACACGAAGAAATGCGCTTCATCTGAGATTATGAAAATGGATATATTTGATTTCAGTTTACGTTCGTGACTAATGTTTTCGAAAAGGCATGGAGACCAGTTTAACCTTAGATTCAGAATATCACACAAATCATCAGCCGGTGTCGTTGAACGCTGATGAAATGGACGATATTTGTATCGACCAGGAAGGCGAATGGGGTGAGTACCAACGTTACATCATAACAACAGTCTGCGCCTGGTAACCGTGTCACGGCTTTACTAATCTCGGAAAAGAAAATGAATACGTTATTAAATCTGTTTATAATTTTTAAATGACAGATTTAAAAGCTACTTTGTAATAAATTCACGACCTACCTAAAAGCGCAATGCTCTACTATATAACCCCACACACACCAGATAAATACAGTATAAGGAGTTCAACAAAAGTTAATGTAAATGTTAATGTAATACATGTCAAAATTCTCGTTAGAAGATTAAAGTAACACTCACGCATCTCTACTCTGAGTTGTACCGTTATATATTTCTTCTTATGGTGCTTTTAGAATTTCGTGTGTTTAGTTAGTAGTAGAGTCAGAGTGTTGCTCCCTGTTGTTATATATTATTAACATTAAAGGGCTTTGTGTCCGTGGCGCAGACATGAGCCTGTTTGATGACCTGGGAGAGCCGGAGAGCGCCGAGGATTTGCTGCTGGTAAGTCAGCTGGCCTTTCCGCTGTCATCCGCTGTAATCGCGCTGTGACGTTCTCTCCAAAAATAGGTGATTAGATTAGAAAATGAAGTAGATACTGGGCTCTAAATGTAAAATGTCTAGCCATCCTCATCGTGCTCGTATTTGAACAGTTTTTAAACAAAATTTAATAACATATAAAGGTCACGGGTTACAGAGACCATTATATCGATCCTTTGTTGAAAATGCATTATTTTAGCAAATGATTCTTTAATGTGAGGTGCATATTCATAGCTATATTTTAATCTACTTTTGATTTTACTAAGGGCTGTATTTATCCATGCTTCCATTTATCAGCCTTCTAACTGCTTATCTTAGTCAGTGTCATGGGGAGTGGGGTGAACTTGGAGTCTGTTCCTGGTGCCGTAGGGCGCAAGACTCGAAAGCACTCTGGATGGGACATCAGTCCATTGCAGGGCACATGCACGCACACATTCATGTAGTATGTGAAGTGTAGACATGCCAGTTTTTAATTTTTACCAGATGGCGGCTTTTAACAGTTCTTTTTTTTAAGCACACATTAAAATATGAAAATTGATGTGAATTTTTAGTTCTTGGTGAGTGTGCCGTTCACATTTATTTTATTGCAGTGTGTCTGGTCTGTCTGATTCCCAGGCCGACAGGGCTCTCGATCTGGATTTTGATCTCGATCTACCAGTATGGAGCCCAGACACCAGTGGGGGTGCCAGCAGCCCCTACACAGGTAAACCCCCCCCCCCCCCCCCAGCAGTCTGGATACTCTCATGGGGTTTGTGGCCTATTTTGTGCACTCACAGGAGTTTTACTTGCCCAAAAATGTTCTGAGGGCACTGAAACTGAAGCTCGCTTGCTGACTCGCTCACACCCACAGATGATTGAGATATATCACTCGTTCACACAAACTGTCTATTTATAGCTATGTGTCAGTATCGATCAGAAAAACCCTACCAGCAGATGTACATGAACTGGGTTATATAGTGCCACGTAAGCAGAAACCTGCATTAAAACACAGCATGATACATGGAAAGTAATGTTTTTGTTATGATTCCTGTCGACAGTTGTATCCTGACTTTACTGACCACAAACAAGCCTTTTAACATGGGGCAAATGAGGCTCGAAAGGTCTCACCTTATTGGTCAGTTTAATGATTCTTATGTCAGCCATGTGATGATTGTTGCTGTGAGTTTCAAAGCCACTTTTCCCCAATACCAGAATGAAGCGCATTCAGGTATGTTTGTGCCCTTAACCCAACCCTTTGCATCGGCGGTCGTGCACCAGTTTCCAGTGTTTGATCTGAGGGGAATCAGAGAAAATATCATCTTTATGCAAGTGTAAAACTGACATTTTGTCTATGAAAGTGTGTCAACGTTCCTAAAATTACCCCAGTGTTTGCAGCAACCATCTCCAATACACTTGTTTTTTTGTTTGCTAATCATTGAGTTAATTAATGAGTTAATTATTTAATTGAGCTGATGGTAGGTTTGGGAACTGAAGCACTGTTCAACTCGCCAGCCAGCTAGAAATCAGTAATGTTTTAAAGAACAAAATAAGTTAGTTATTTTTTTTTTAAATTGTGGTACTATTAATGCGCAAATACACTTACTGCTAGGGATGAACCAGTTTCACGGTAAACCATGGTAAAATTCTTGACAGTCATTATTACTGTTTCAAATTTTAATTAGCTTTAAAATCGTGGTTGATTACCGTGTTTTGAAAAATTCAGGATAAATAGTAAATCTATTAAATACTGTCCAACATCAACCAATGTTAGCAACAGTCTCCCACATGCAGATACTCAGGCACAACGTGCAACGTGGGTTTGCTTTCTATCAGTGCAAAAATGGCGGAGGTGGTGGCAGCACTCAGGAGATTGTAAATATTAATGCACTTTTCAGATGTTTACGTTGGCTGCTAGTGCTGCTAATTTTATTTGTGGTTTTCATTATAAAACTTGGTGAAATTATTTCATTTCGTGTATTAGTACTTTTTGAATATTTTCAGCACATTTTAGTAATACCACGCTAATACTGATAGTTGTGATATTAAATTTTCTTACCGTTTCATCAGCTCACTGCCCAGATAGTTAGCTTTAAACATTGACTGCACAGTATTGTATGTAACCCTGTCCCCCGATCGTCTCGCCGCAGATACGGAGGTGTCTTCGGGGTCCCTCTCCCCACACCATGCCACCAGTTCAGTCACATCACCCGGCTCTGTGGAAGCTCTCTCGCCTTTAGACCTGCTCGTAAGAACGGCACATTAATTTCTCCCTGCTTCCTTGTGCTTTTAGTCCAGGCCACAGTTTCAGAGATGTGCTATATTTGTGATGTCGTTTCACTGGTATGTAAATATTACTTGATTAGGCTGTTGCCATGGTATCCTGTAATGTAATTCTTTCCCCAGCAGGTGGAACCCTTGTCTCCGCAGTCTCAGGCATCTCCTGCTTCCATCAGCTCTGAGACCAGCTCATTTTCTGATGTCGTCCAGGACAGGAAGACGCAGCGGCGGAGCAACCAAGCCTCCCGAGGTGAGGAGCAAGTCCATCAGTGACAGCCACGCAGAAATGTGCCTAAACTGGCACGATCCAGTTGGCCTTTGGTCACCTAAGATTTTTGTGTGGGCTGCAGTGTTGTGTGATTCTGGGTTAGGGGGCATATATAAGAAAATGGAAAAACTCCATTTGTGCATTATTGTATTATTTTCTGGGTGAAAATATGATCGACCTTTGCTTGGGCAGCTTCTCAGAAATTATGCATTACAGCTAGATGGATAATATACCGTATTGGTCCTAATATGAAACAACCCCCTGCTTTAGTCAGGAGGCAGACTATTTTTGTCATTTACGGTTGTATGTGTGTAATGACATTTTTAGTCCTGGAATATGACAACCCGTTTTTTTTTATGTAATACCGTAACAATTATTGTATTGTGAATTGTCTCCTAAAACCTTTGTTTGTATCGCCCCCCCCCATCACTTCTAGCCAAAACCTCACAGCCCATAAAGCGACCCATTCATCATGCACCCAAGGTCTCCATCCAGCCCAAACCAGTGGTAGCCTTCCCCATCGTACACGCCACCCCCCTCCAGGCAAAGACCATCATCATTCAGCCTGTGCAGACCGTTCTCCCCAGGGACCAGGTCACTCCCGTGGCCATCCGGCCAGCCCCCCTCAAAGGTGAGCGCTGATGACTTCTCTCCATTTTATTCCTGTGTCTGGAAAGCTTTTACATGTGGTGTCCAGAAGGTGGTGCCAAAGCTCTGCATTTCAAAGTAGCTGTGACTTTACATTTTTTTTTTTTTTTTTTTAAACATCAGTATATAGTTGATCAGAAAACAGTTTTAACTTTGTTCTTATCGCAGAAGTGTCTAAATTCCATTCTCCAGAAAGGTGTCATGGCAGAGTACCTGTGTGTGAATTACCTTTTACTGTAAGACAAAGTGCAGGGACTTTGCATGATACCTGGTAAAGATGGACTGTATCTTACTGGGTTGCCACTCATGGCTGCTGTAGGGAGCTCTTATACAGTGGCATCGTATGCTTTGGAGAAGTAAAGCCACCATCTCTCTGCTTTTTAAGTGTGTTTCTCGGCCATGCTCGCCGTCCCAGTCCCTGTGAATCAGATTTTACGAGAATGTGCCGCAGACGTTCAACCTTTCTGCTGAATCGTCTCCAGTGAGATGGCGCAGATGCAGCCTCCCAGACTTTAGATCAGCTGGTGTCTGGCTGAAACTTGCCCCATCTGGATGTGTGACTTTGTGGACGATGGTTTTACTCAAGGCCGCCCCTGGCCAAATTGGGGCCCTAAGCAGAATTTCATTTTGAGCCCCCCCCCTTCCCCCATTACAAAATGACTGTATCACGAAATCACCTGCATGGATCCAACTGCCTGTCTGTGCATTTGACCGCTGATTGGTCAGATGCTGCGTGTTGTCAATCATTTTTTTCCCTCTCCTGCCTTGGGCTGACAAGGTGCTGTACGCGCGCCTCGCGGCAGCCATGCGCATCCTTTGCGCATTTGCAGAGAATGCGTCCCCTTGCGGAAATCGGACCCCCCCATGGATCGTGGGGCCCTACACACAGCGCCTGTTCTGCGTGTAGGGAGGGCCGGCGCTGGTTTTACTCACTGTGGACCCATTAAGGTGAAAGGGAAGATGGCGACGCACATCTTGGCTAAAAGTGTCAGTCTTCCTATGTTCATGGTGTCCATTGCAGGTGGTGGTCTCAACGAGCTGTATGGGCCAGTTACTGCAGCTTGGGGTATTAGGTGAGTGGTATGACAAGGCAAAAAAGCACTCCCTAGAGCACTCCCTAAAGCACTCCTTAGAGCACTCCCTAAAGCACTCCCTAAAGTCAGTGTGTAGACTTGATCCCAGCAAGGAGGCTGAGCAGGTGGGTGGCCGTTTTGTTGTGGTGATAATGACCTTTGACCCTTGACAGCTGACCCACGTTCTGCTTTTTTGTTTATTTTCCACACGAGTAGCCACATGCTTCCTAAAAAGGACCATTTTTAAAGACTTTCTGGAGACATAGTAATTTTCCCCCAAAATAGCCTGCATTTTATGGGAGTATCAGCAAAATTTAACCCCAAAGACGGCTACCCACTCTCTCACACACACACATACAATTTGTTCTTAGTTTTAGGGATTTGTGGTGTCTGTTTGACTTCCGCCAGTTACGCTTGGGGTCACCGTAAAGAATGGGAATCGTGCTGCATGACCAGGGTGTAAGTTGGCGGCGACTTGTGCCTCAAGCAATTTGGCTTTAACAGACTTTCTCAAGGGCCCACCAATGACATCATGCTCTCGACCACAGGATTTGAACTTATGACCTTCTGATCATGGGTGCATGTCCTAATCCACAGAGCCACACACCACCCTGACATTTAATGGCACTTTTAAATGTTTGCGCTGCTCTCAGCATCACTCGAATCAGAAAGCCGGTAATGATTTTTGGCAATATATCGACTTCATCACGTTTCTGCTTGTCCAGGTAGCGTAGGAAATATGTGTTTTGCTGAGTTGTTTTGGGTAGAGGCTCTTTGTGAGATATACACAAGGCAGACGAGTTACGGGAAACAGCCAGGTGAGTGAATTGCGTCCCACATACAGCCTGGTCCTTTCGACGTCACAGTGCCGTGTGCGAATAAGCCTGCCTCATGCTGACTGTTATCAGGTGGTGCTGTGTGGAGATCTGCACCGTAGTGTCTTAGTGACAGCCCTGCTGTGGGACCCAGGATGGCGCGTCCGGTCCTTCAGGTCCTGTGCAGCCATGGAGAGACAGGCGTAGGCTGTGGGACCCAGGATGGCGCGTCCGGTCCTTCAGGTCCTGTGCAGCCATGCAGAGACAGGCGTAGGCTGTGGGACCCAGGATGGCGCGTCCGGTCCTTCAGGTCCTGTGCAGCCATGGAGAGACAGGCGTAGGCTGTGGATTAACTCCTGTCATGACTTCTGCAGGAGCCCCGATGACACTCGCTCCGCAGGCGATGCCGCTGCCCCTCCCGGCCCCCCAGGTCCCCCCATCTCTGCCGGCCATCAAGCTTGGGGAACACCCGGTTACCGTGACAACCCTCTCCCAGGATGGCGGCCGACCCTCAGTGGGAGTCGTGCCTTTCCCCACCCCGCCCCCGAGCAACGCCGGGTCCGATGTGAGTATGGGCGACCTCTTTGATCCATCGTCCACGTGCTTGTGTGCATATTCTCATGATGTGAGCGTGTGTCAGAGCTCTTCCAGCCTGTGGTATGCGACTGCATTTAAATGAGGATGCGAGGTAGATTTGGTCGGAGTGGGGCACTCGGGATCATCTGTTTCTGCCGTGTGCTGGGGGGGGGATGGAACAGAAAGCCTGAGAACCGCATGTGGCAGGGGACTGAGCTGACTGGAAAATCTCCCTGAGGTGTTTCTTAGTCAAGCTCAATAGGAGGCCCAGACAGCCCCCCCGCCCGCCTTGGTACCAAAGCAAGCAAGCTAAAGGAAAGTAGTGTAATGTGTGCTTGGGGTGGGGGGGGTCCGGTGAGCCGCTTGATGCCATCTATAACTGGCACTCATGATACCAAGTTAAGAAATTCACCGCAGTCTCCCATCCGGAAGGAGTCTGACGTTGGCATATGACCAGACCCTACATGTCTGACGTTGGCGTATGGGCAGACCCTACGTGTCTGACGTTGGCGTATGGGCAGACCCTACGTGTCTGACGTTGGCGTATGGGCAGACCCTACGTGTCTGACGCTTGCTGTGATTCCTGAAGCCGATTTAAAAGCAGGAGCTGTCGTCCAGGGCAGCCGGACTCCTAAAACACCTCAGCACTTTCAGGACATGCGTGACCCTTGCTTTCGTAACTGTTCGTTAAAACTCAGAGGCAGACCAGTGCCTTTCCTACAAAGCTACTTTCCCTGTTAGTGCTTCTTTGTTGTGTATCACAAGACCATGTCACACCTAAAGGGTTATTACGTCACCTGAATAATAAATCAACGCCTGTATCGACACCCGACCATTTTCTTGATGCCCAGCAATGGACAAGGTTCTGGTTCTGCAAGGCTTCCCCTGGTTCTGCTATGGCTCTGCCTTCATCCCATATGCTTAACCTGATGGACGTTAATCAGTAGGCACCTGTGTAAACACGTAAAGCTCCGTCGTGGCCGTGGAGTGTACTGTACCGTGTGCCGACTGAGTAAATAAATAAGCAGTTGGAGGTGAAGCTGTTTTTCAAGCAATTAGACTGTCGCTAGAAAAACAGTCGGGAAGGACGGGCTCACATGAACAACATCAAGGTGTCGTGGCAGTTTCTGCTCCAGCAATCGAACATTTTACTTTATCTCTTCCCCCCCGCTCGGTATTCTGTTTAATTGTGCTTGTAATAATGATTGAAAAGCAGTACTGGTTCTGTGAGAATTTAAAAGGTATATTAAAGCCAAGAGCAGTGGAAAAAGAAAACAAAAGAAAGTAGCTGAATTACGGACTGAATGCCTATTGACACCACCCTGCTTTCTCAGTGAGAGCCCCAGTTCTTTTCTTTTTATTGGGCTGTTTTTGCAAGGAGTATTTTCTTGACTTTCATAAAGACTTTGGAAAAAATTTAATTTCTGTTCTCTGGATCTTTTTCCCAATGCCGCTGTTTCTTTTTAATTAATTTTTTCGAATATTTACTTGGTGGAGGTGTACACCAAGTCCAGAGGAAATGGGAGAGTTTATCCTATTTATAAAAATGACATAATCTGATAATTGCATGTATTGCACCCTTTCAACATATTTAGAATAAATCTATTTTGACTAAAAATTAGCATGATACCCTTTAATGACATTGATTGCAAACTATTCTGCAGCCTTTTCAAATTGGACATTTGTAAAATGGAGACACTCAAGTGGAGTCTATGATTCTTCGTCCCTCTGACATCTTATCCTTGAGAGCGTCATGGGGGGGAGCCTGTAGTCTATCCCCCGCAGCACCGGGCACCAGGCAGGGGAACCTCCTGGGTGGGATGCCAGGCCATTGCAGATTTAACCTGCTCGTGTCATGGTCTCCTTCTGCTACGATCTTGGAAAACGGATTCTGTAACTAAAGGTTTCTCTTCAGGAATTCGCTAAGGCAGTTCTTCTGAGTTTAAATGGTTGCTTAGGAAACTAAATAAAACATCGTGCTTAGATGCCAGGTTGTTTCTGTTGCAGAGCCAGAGCGATTAGACGTGATGCCGCCTGCTTCCAGCTATAGTAATGGAATTAATGGACTTTCTTTAGTTATTTAGTGTGTCAGAACGGCATCCTGGGCTACAAATAACAAGGAATTTGGATTCCATTGAACATAAGTTATCTCAATATTTCTCTCAAGTTATTATGCTTTTAGAGTGTATATGTCTTTTCAGTTACTGTTTAGTAATATTGATGTCACACCTAAAGGTGTTAGTCCATCACTAACAAGTCATGCTGAATGTGTCATACACTCTGTAGGTGAATAAGAATGATGTAACTTGAATTCATTTGAAGAAGCTGCTTTTTTAAAATTAGTAATATGATTTTTTTGGCTTATTTCTGCCTTCAATTCTGAACAATGTCATTTAAGTTTATTTGCCTTAAAACTGCTGTACCATCGTAGTTACATAATTCCTCCTTGGAAACTTTGATGGAACGTGGGGCTGAATGCGGAGCGCAGCGTTTTCAGTTGTTTAGCACGAGGTGTTTCGAGCGTAATGGAAGCTATGCAAGCCCCCTTTTTGCCGGTGTGGGGCAAGTCAGTTTTTCCACCGCTGGCTGCAGGACCCGTCATTGAGGCCCATCTGGACTGGCAGGGACCGTGGACACACGGGGGTTTCTAAAGAGGGGGAGGTGATTATAAGATTCCATCACGCCATCCTGTAACGCCGCGGGTTCTGGCACCTGCTATGGGACAGGTTCTTCTTATGGCTCCCAGTGCCACCTGTGCTTTTATTCTTAGCCCAAACAACTGAAGGAAACATGTTATGCTTAGCTGGTAAAATCAAAATAACTCATGAGCTTCAGGGCCAGATTAATGCATAGGTTCTCCTAGGCAAACATCAGGCCCCGCCCCCCTAGTGGAAAAAATAGAATGGTTAGTAAAATAGGCAGCACCCTAGTGTCCATGCTGATGTCATCCTAGGGCCTCCCAGGTACCTACCTCTGCCCCAATGAGCTTTATGCATTTCTAAAGCATTTTACTGGCTCGATTGATTGACTTGTTGAAGAGGATCCCGCCAATGCAGCTTTTCCCAATCCGATCCTGAAAGTAAAAATCCAGACCAAGATTTTGTTTCAACTAATCAGTTGAGTGCTCTGTAACTGTGACTCTTTAAACTCAACTGGTTCGTTGAAACAAAATCCTGGTTTGGATTTTACTTTCTGGACCTGAAATGTCCGCCTCTGCCCATTGAAAGAGAAGTTTTCTGCAGGCAGCTGTAGCCAATCAAACTGCATGCAGCACAGTGTCATTGTCACATTAACTGGGGTGCCATTCGATTCAGAGCATCTCCAGGAGACAGCAGCGGATGATGAAGAACCGCGAGTCGGCATCGTTGTCGCGGAAGAAGAAGAAGGAGTACCTGCTCACCCTGGAGGCCAGGCTGAAGGTGGCGCTGTTTGAAAACCAGCAGCTTAAGATGGAAAACGGCACCCTGAAGAAGCAGCTGGACAGCCTGGCGGCTGAGGTGGGGGTGCCCTTACTCTCAGTATGGCATTACCTGTGAATCCTATGTTCTCAGCATGCTAATGCTGCGTTCCACTTATCTCAGAGGTTGGAAGTCGGAGCTGGGAATCACATCCCGCCTGACTTAACTGCAGTCTAGTACAACATGTCAGAAAGCCATTTAGCAATACCGGTTCACTGTTAGTCATTATTAGCAATACCGGTTCACTGTTAGTCATTATTAGCAATACCGGTTCACTGTTAGTCATTATTAGCAATACCGGTTGGTAATTACACATTTATGAACACTGTAGCAACTTGTCCACAGATAGCGGTTGAACAGTACTGTGTGTACAACCAGTTTAATGAGACACAATTAAGACATAAGTGTTAAGCATTTGCATAAGTAAACTAACTGTAACAAGTAGGTCTTTCTGCATTACAGCCTTTGATAAAATGTCAAAAATGGGTGAAAATGTTTTATTTTTTTTCTCAGAACAACGTTTTGAAAGTCACAGCCCCCAAAAGACGGGCTGTGTGCCTCATGGTGGTCTTGATGTTTGTCATGCTGAATGCTGGCTCTCTGAGGTAAGCATTACACCTTTGAGGTTGGTCTTGCTGAATACTAGGTCTGTGTGTGAAATATGCAAGCTGGGATCCCAGGGTGTAGCCAATGAAATATCTGACCAAGATCACTTGACACATGCCAGCCAATCAGGTAGTGTTTTCTGAATTATGTGTTGCAGGCCTACATACTGTTTACTCCTAAAATTGAAGTAGGTTGCTGTGGAGGGTGGTCTGGGGTTTGGCATTTCCAAATATCTCTCCAGCAGAGAGAACCACTAATATCAAGTGGGGTCTCTGCTCAAAAGTACTCAGATTAAACTGTAATTGCAAAGGAAGATACTTACTTTATATGAATAAACAATGTGTCTGCTGTTTTCCTTAGTTGAAATAGCTGTATTCTCACTGTAGCAGCAGGGCAATTAGTAATGGCACTGAGATTTGCAATAAGAAGAGCCTTTTTCTGAGTCTCTGGTTGCATGGAAAAGGGGGCCGGCTTTGCCAAGGGATCGGAAAGTGGGAATGACGGCTGGGGCCTTTGAAGCATTCCATCGTCTCAGGTCCCGAGGAAGCAGGAATGTGAGACAGGCCTGTTGGAGTGTGTGAATTTTATTTATAGATGGAGTGCATTCTGCGCACATCCTTTAAAAGGGCATTGAGTTTTTGTTGAAAAAAACTGTGATGTGTCTGGGACGTTTTTTAAATGTCTTTCAATGTGCTGCAGGGTACATCTCCTTACTGTTATCTTCCGATTTATTTTTAAACTCTAAAGTTAATCGCTGCCATGTTTGAGATTTTCCCAGAGACCTGTTCTCGTATTTCATATTTCAGCAAGTCTGTAATCGTTTCACGTGCGAATTTGGTAGCGCCAAAGGTAAATCTAGGCTGTTTTTCCTAGACTTTAATGAGGATATACATGCACATTAGTGGGACACTGTAGAACAAAACATGCTGATATGAACGAGAGCATTCATTGTGCATGTTAGAGGCACTGTTACTTGTTGGGTGGCATGTTGTGAAACCAAGTATCTCCATTCTTCTTTCGCAGTCTGTTTGATCGGGACCCCAACTCCAACCTGCCAGTTGGGACCATGCACAGTGGCAGACATTTGCTGGAATTCTCCGGTAGCAATCAGGGGAACACGGCCCCCCAAATGCAGAAGCCTTCTGACAGGTATCCAGGACTATGTGACTGAAAGCCATTTGACTCTGAGAAATTGTGGAATTCTGTTGAGCTTATTTCCGTGGCCTGCCTGAGTATCCTGTTTACCCATCCTTACTCATGCTCCTTAAAATCCCCTCTTCAATTCTCAGCAGCGCTTGAGTGACGTTTTTGCCAGGTGTGTGTATTTCACCTCCATGCTGACCAGACTTTGATGTGAAACTTTAATTACCCAAAGCTTTTTAAGTTTAGTTTGCTTTAGTGGGGGTGATTTATGCTGTGAGTTAAGACTGTTCCTCTAGATTTTGGCAGTTGAGCCTCATAGAGCTCTTTCTGAACTTAGTCCAAACTGCTCAGGAAATCTGATCAAATGTTCTTATTGTATAGGAATTTTAATGATGGTCATTGTGTGTCTGGGGGTTTAACAGCCAACTGAGCATTCTCACTCTCAGAAGCATCCTCAGTGGCCGGCGTGAGGCTGGATTTTCCTTATAAAGTGAAGCAAAAACAGGAAATCTGAGTTTAGAAGGTCTGCTCTATCCTCGCCATCCTTGATGATATCTTGTGTGGTTGACCCTGTTACTTACCTCGGACTCAGTGGCCTTTATTAATGGAACCAATATAGAGCCTCTGATCAAATGTTTTAGTACCAGGGGTTCATTGACTGAATGCTCATTGGCCAATATCGACCAATATGGTAGAGTTTCACCTAGTAGTCCTGCTCATATTTATTGTAATATTATCGTTGAATAAGGAAGCCTCCATAATTTTGTTAGTCCGTGCAAAAATTTAGCACATCTGTTGAGCTTTATATAGAATTTTGCAGTCCAGAATTTTTCTGTTAACTTTTCTTGGTATGTTTCCCAGTTACTTTACTGTCATTTGAGGCTGTGAACTTGGACACCTGGTGTAATCTCTCGCTGTACATCAGTGTCTCTCCCTTACTCAGTGTTGACTTTCTCCAGGTAATATCTGTCATGTGCTTCCTGGGACTTGCTGCTGCCTCTCTAGCTCGATTCCCGACCTCACGTATGTTTCTTGTTTGCTTTTGCTGCTCACACATGGGAAACTACCCGCGGTGTTAGTCTGATTGCCTCCATGACGAAATCTGGCTCTCCAAATAAATGGGACCTGGCTTTCATTACGGATGGTCTGTCATGCCTCCTGGGATTGATTCAGAGCTCCGCAGATGTTAGACTCATAGTGTGTGACTTGTGAAAACGGTGAAGTTGGCCAAAATGGCGACGGCGCTGCCTGCTCCTTAATGCCTGGCAGCAGTGGGTCCAGGTGGGACCTGGTGATGGCCCTCCTGGGGTCCTCTTCTGTGGTGCATTGATAGTAGCCCATCCTTATCCTTGCTGCTAAGGAGTTCCATGTCCATGTGTTCCGTCCGTGTCAGGCACATGTGACTGTTGGGGAGGTGAGTAGCATGCATCTTCTCTTACCAGGTCGGAGGACTCCAAGGAGAAGGCACTGATGGTGGTGAAGAAAGACTCTCTTCAGTTCGAGCCTCCCCCACCTTGCCAGCCAACCATCAACAGGACAAAGTCTATCAGGTTAATAGTGTTTGGGTTCTCCTCTGCATATCTGGGGAGTGATGTTATCCATATGCAAGCTATTGGCATATTAACTACAAATAAAATATTCTGGGAACCAGTTAGCTACCTACTCTCACTTTATTAGGAACATCTAGCAAATACCAGGTAGGCCTTACTTATGCCCCCAGAGCCTTGCTACCCACCACTGTTGTACTGAGCTACTGTTTCTCCAGTTAGCTGTAATGAGTCTGGCCATGCTCTTCTAATCTTCCTCATTAACAAGGTGTTTGCGGCAGTCGGAGTTCCCCAGGCTGGGTGTTTCTTTGTTTATTGTGCCGTTTCACACTGCGTGTGAAAATCCCAAGAAGGTGGCTGTTTCTGAATCAAACAATCACGCCACATTTGAAATCGCTTTGCTCAGGCGTCTTTGCCATTGTAATGCTTAGTCGAGCAGTATGTGAAGCTCTTGGCCCTGCCAGTGTGCTGCATGTATTCAGTTATAGATACTTTATTAACAGTTACGAGGAGCAGGCAATTATAGCTAATAAACTGGCCTCTCAGTGTATATCACGTAACGCCTTCTTGCAGTATGGCTTTTCATTTTAAACTATGACTTTTAGATCTTTCTTTGACCTGTGCTCAGTTAAAGCAAAAAGCACAATTAAAAAATGCCTCCTCCATATGAATCTGTACATTGTGCACAATTGGACATGAAGTCTGGCAGTTATTGTATATGTTGCTTTTTGGTTCACTGAGTTTTTAGGTACTATATGATGCAGTGGATGGGTCGCCGTAGGTCTCGCCTTTCTGTGAGGTCTCACAGCAGTCCCCTTTGTAATGAACAGTGGTGTGTCGTTAAAATCACTCTGTCGGGGGTCATTGTGTTTTCAGGCTGGCTCACGAACTGAGAGGCTGGGTGCACCGTCACGAAGTCGAGAGGACGAAGACCAGAAGAACAACCAATAGTCAGCAGAAAAACAAAACGATCCTGGTAGGCTGGCCGTTCGTCTGGATCTCTTGATGTTTGTCGCTGTTAGCACTCATTGAACCAACATGGCTGATGGGATTAGACCAAAATCTCGCCGGTGAATCTCACTTAAGTAGCAGTCTGATGGTGTATGAGTCAAGCTTGGGTTTTCAGATCCATGAGCTGACTGTATTTTTAATAAGTACTCTCCTGCAGTGGCCTTGAAGCCCTCGTAAACCTTCAAGGTCATTTTCCTGTAATAGTCGCAAAGTATGTTTACATTCAGGCTATTAGTGCATGTCAAGATAGCTTTCGGGGTCTCTGGATGTAATTTGCCAGGCATGGGAACGTAAACACTACTGATACGGTAAGATTTAAATTTTTTCCCCATTTTAAATGTTGATCTGCTTTTATCTGCTGTCACCACCAAGGTATGTCTTAGGCAGTCGGAATGCTGAGGGGACAAAGTCCAAGCATCTACATGTCAGTTTTTATTTATAGTCCTGGTAAATTTCAAATAAAGGATTTTGCTGATGGTATTTGCCTGTTTCCAGACAGTTTATTATACCCTTTGGTCTCACTAAGCACTGTATTTTCACAGCATATGGCAGCTTTATTGTTATTACACTGGACTTTTTTTTAAAACTACATACTGTCCAGCAGTATTTAAAAATAGTTTTATTTTTACTGACTTTGTCTTTAATAGAGATTTATGCTGGGATGAGAGAGATCAGGCTATCGGCAACCTGCAAATTAGCGGTGTGGTGCCGCAAACTGTAAACGGTTGTTTAGACTCGTGGTTAACTATCTGATGCGGAGCATGTGTGCATCAGGCATGCAGACCGAAAACTAACCATTACCAGAACCAGAACTGAAGAGGAAGTTGGATCAAACCATTTTATTCTAATGTTGTTTTTATAATGATTAGTCATGTGATTATTAATGGCTTGTTATTTAACTGCAGGTATTTATCTATGCATCCTACTTCAAAGCATTAAAAAGGTTTGTTTAATCAGGCTGGAGTTGGTGTCGATCCAGACAAACTGAAAATATTGCTTTGAATTTAGCATGTTTCATTTTAATTCCATTGATTGTTAGTTGCGGCTGTGGGAGGGGGGGGGGTTCGTGGCTTCATAGAGACTACAGTTAATGTGTAATGTTGCTCCAATAAGCATATTTTGCAGTCTGGGTCTTGAAAAATGCTTGTGTCCAAATTTATAGTTCTCATGAGTATGTGTGCAAGTCTGGGTGGAAAAAGTAGACGTTTTAAATAAATTAATACAGTAAGGAAGAAGAAAAATGTCCTCTTGGCTAGGTAGAGGAACAAAGAGCAACCTGCTGTTGCTGAGAGGGTTTTCTTAGGGAAAAACATATTTGAGGCGATTTAATTGTACAGGCCATTGTCTGAACTGCTATTTCTGTGGGATTACAATGTCGATGCAGTCGTTAGTAGCCTGTGTTGTCTTCTGGCCACGTGGGCCCTGTTGGTTTTCTGTCATGTGAAATTGTTTGAGACAGATATCTTTGATCTCCACTGGCTTTGAAGTGATGTTTTCCTGCATGAACATGGACATTTATCAGGTCACGCTTGGCTTTACACCGACTGCTCTGATGGTCTTCAAGTCTTTCGTGCTACGCGGCTCCTTAAGTGTCTTTGTTTCCGTGAGGCTGGCAGGAAAATCTGCATCCTCGTCCTCCACAGAGAAGCTAAAGGGTTCGGCCTGTTCTCTCTGAGACTGTCCCCTTTCTCATGATGGCATGAATTTTTGTTTTATTTATGTATTTGCCGACACCGGATTTCCTGCACTACTGTTGTCCCGTGGGTGTTGTGGGGCTCCTGTTCTCTACATATTCCCACATATCCTGGTCTTCAGAAGCGTACCAGCAGTCTCCTTGCAGATTCTTCCCTGTTCGTGTTTCGTCGTGTCTCAGGAAAGATGCCACCTTCTTCCGCCTGTGGTGGCTCTGCAGTCCATGTTTACCTTAAATGCTGTGCCTGATTGAACCTGTGACAGTCTGGTCACTATGTCCTCATGCAGCTCATTTTGCTGGATTGTCACTAGGGCCGTATGTTAACTTTGTTTTTCAGGCGCTGCTGAGCTGAGTCAAGTTTTTCTTTTGATTTATTATATTTGTTTGATTCAGATTATTATTACTGCACAGCTTCATTGGATTTTATGGCAGGTTTGGGATAATTACAGGAAACAGTCTGAAAATAACTCAAGATAAAATAACAGGCAATTTATTTATTTAGTGTGTGTGTGTGTGTTAAAGGATTGATGTGAGCTTTGCTTTCTTTTAACTATGATTATAATTAAGCAGCACGGCTTTTGCATGGGTAAGTGGTTTGAATCATGGAAGGTTGCATGGATTATTGCAGCAATTGTCAACATAATAGCATTGCAAAGCTACTCGCTGCAGGAGTGAGTGAGGGCGCAGCTCAGTGGAAACATAACAGGACATTTAACCGAAGCTCATTTATGTATGGATTTCGTTTTGTTTTTCTTAATTTTATTTGTTTAGCTTGCTTGTTTGTTGGAATGATTTGTTCTTTGGTTCAAAGAATACACAGAACATTTACAGTTTTTTGAGTGCCCTTCTACTGGGACTTAATTTTACCTGTTGCTGTTATTTATACACCACACACACACACAAAATCCCTTTTAGCATTTCCGTGTATTTACTGTTATCGTGAGCCACATGCAGCTGAGGGTCAGAGAGCAGATCAGCCAGCATACCTGGAGCTCCTTGGCTTTAATGGTCTTGCTCAAGGCCCAGTTGTGATATGACTTCTCTGCTAGCCTTCTGGACACCGGCCCTCATCTATAATCCTCTGAGCCTCACCCATGTAGATGTTTCTGAAGGAGAGGTAAAAGCAGGTTTGGCATGTGTGTGGGCATACGCTTATGGGATATGTGTTAGATCTATGGTATTTGCAGGGTTAGAGTGTTGCTTGGCTATCCTTGATAAGACCACATCATACGCTTCCAGAGTTTAGTGTCTTATCCTCAGCTATTTCAGTCGTGGAGGGGAAAGCATGGCATCCGACCAAGGAAAGCAGCCATGCTCTGCTGGACTGTATCTGATCCACACTGTGAGGAAGCCGCAGAAGCCACCCTCACTGTTCTCCTTTCTTTTTTCCAGAAAACGCCAGGTGAGAAGGCTGAGGTTTCTCAGATCGTCACCGTCCAGTACACAGACACGCTGGAAAAGTGAGTTTTCATTGCCTCCTTGCTGTATGTGCATATTTGGTTCACATCCACAGGGCTATCTTGATCTGGAGATCTGGCGGAAATGGTCAGCATTTACCCCTGAAAGGAACAGCTGAGCCATACTGGTGGCTCTGGAGGCATTCTTTCCCTGTACTTGTACTGGTCGCTGGGGAAAACAGAAAAGGAGGCCAGAAAACCAGTACAGCCAGGACCTAGCAAAGATCCTCATGCCGACATTTATCTTATTTCTCTACTGACACTGGACCTTTGAATACTTTGTCATGCATGAAAAGCGTGAAGAGTCCCCAGTGAATAGATGTTCATATAGAATATTTTTTCAATATGTGAGATCTGTTTTTCTTTTGCAAGAACCTGCTTTGGTGAGATTTGTGTTGATATGACATCTGTTAAACGTCCACATGTACTCGTGATATGCTCCATATGGTGTGTAGAGATCGCCGTGTCCCTTTCCAACAGCAGTGCATCCTGTCAATCCCTTCCGTAATTTCACGGCAGGACAGGGACGCTAGCCTTTTGCTATCATTATACAAAAATGGCCACCACATATTTTGTATATTTTCGTCCAACCCCAATCACGCCACTGAAAGATACCACTTTGCATTGACTGGTATGAAAAATCACTATGTTTATTAACTTTTAGTTAACTATTTTTTTCAGTTTTTCACTTAAACAGCTGCTGCTTGTATGTTTTATCCCATTTCTATAGCTTGATGCTTATCAGGTTAATGCAACTTCACAGTATGACAATTTCTCAGCAATTCACATAATACATATTCAGCAAATAATCTGGCTACTATCGTTTGTTACTGTTTACTATATTAACAGAAACTGAGAATAAATTCAACAACAGATTTCTCACATTATTAAAATGCAGTATGCATCCAGCTTTTATAGATTTATATATCATAAGTCCTTAGTCCTAAATGTCCTAAATTGAGTAATTTATTTTATTAGTATGTTTTTTTAAGGCTTTCTTTAAAACAGTTATTTGAATGACTGCAGAAATCTAAAATGATGCTTAGGTGGACCAACCCATGAAATAAGTCACGGAATGGCTGTGGATTCGTGACTGTTTGGTGCATCTTCTCAGTGACATTTGCCTCTTCCCATCAGGAGCTCAGGGAGTGAGCTGCAGGTGTACTACGCTCGCCATGGCTACTACAATGAATTCTTTGAGGAGATTCATCGCCGTGGAGACACATTCTACGTGGTGTCCTTCCGAAGGGTGAGCGGAGTTGCCTTCCATGTTAGGCCCAAGATGCTCTCACACAAAAAGGAGGAAATGTCATTGTCTGTTGGTGTCCGGCGGCTGTGGCTCCGTCACAATTTGGTTGTTAGGGAGGAAGGGGGTAATTTATTGGCCTCTGTGCTGTAAACTTTCAGCTAATAAGGCTGGGAATGTGGATCTATCACAGAGAACTCAATTCTATATTTCTGCAAGCCATAGGGATCAGACCTGAGCACAAATTCAGATTCATGAATAAAATTAATTTTGCCCTCAGCGTTTCATGAACTGGTGAAATTGCTGAATATGGAAATGTGGTGTGTGTTTTAAAATTAGTCTTGAAATATATGCTTTTTTTTCCTGCAACGAATGGAGAGTCTAACTTTCCAACTCGGAGCGATTTTAAAGTGCACAAGTGCAAATGCAGATGGTGTTTGAAAACGTCAGAGAAGTATAAGCTTCCAAATATACGTTTTTTAAGTAGCCACCAAGTTAGTTTCCATACTACAGTCCCAGCGTTATGTAATAATTGATGAGTTTGCCATTTGAAACATTTGTTTCTTTAAATGTTAGATATTTCATTACCTTTTTCTTCATTGAGTATTGGTCCATGCAAAGTGAGTTGACTCCTGCAATTACTGCCTTTACCTGTCATATTGAAGCTATTTTGAGTGGTTTTTTTATGGTGCAATGGATTTCTTTTTATCATTTTGTTTAGAATGATGTTTGGAATTCCAGAATTAGACATCTTAGTGGAGAAATGCAATGCACTACTTCAGGAAATCACACTCTGCAGAGATTGGCTTAGACCTTAAATCCTGCTGCATATGTAGTACCCTGTAGTTGCTGTGTTAAATACCCTTATAAAGGTAGGAAGTGCCACTATTTTAGTGCTTCGTCCAGGCATTCCGGTGGTATTCACCCCACCCCTTAAATTTCTCTATGCCCAGCAATTGGTTGTGATTGCACCAAAAGCGTGCTGAAAGGCAGCGAAAATGTTCACGTTCATCTCAAACTCTTCCATCCTGGATTCCCGCTAAACGCCATTTCTTTTGAGCTCCCAGAACAGATCGTCACTTGTCAGATCAGAAACATCTCGACCACCAAACATGCAGACGGACCTTCTGAGGTTCACAGGCTCATTATTCAGTGTTTAATCCAGACAGCTGCTTAATCGTGAGGGGTGTACATCTGATGCAGAACCAGTTTGATGTTTGGGAGCCTAATTACAGTTTCCCCTCCCTTGATCTGAACCGTCAACTCCGTCTGGCTCAATAAGTCTCCTTTATGCTCATTTCAAGTCTCACTTTCTTTGTTAATGAGGTCCAGCTCTCTCGTATCTGCTACACCAGTGATAGTTTCCCTGTTTGTTCAGTCACGGTGTCTGTTGCTACCTGACAGCCCAGAAAGCCTCTTAATCCATCTTCAGTAAATGTGTAACGGTGTCATAGGGTCTAAAATACAAAGATTACACATAAGTTGCTAACAAATGGTGCTATCAAGCCTATGACAGCATGAGTATATTTATGTTGTAACTGGATAAGATTAAACCACTTTAGGTATTGTATTATAAACAGTCTTAATATGATGCCTTCATGTGGTTTCTTTGTGTTATTGTAATGCTTTTTCTGTAACTCTGGTTACAGTATTGCTTTTGGTAGTCAGACTGTCCGTGGCTGGCACCTCCTTGCACTGTCCTCCTTTGGTTGCCACATGGCCTCTCACACCCCTTGCCTCAGCCAGATGAAGGCCTGCTCTCTCCAAAGGCCCCCGAAAGATGGCGGCTGGAGCAGATTGCCGCTGGATTTTGGCGCATTACCCGTAGGGTCGCTGTTGCCCAGTTGGCCGCTGCTGTTACAGCTGTGTGACTGGAAACATGGAGATTCTGAAGTGGAAAAAAATCCAGAGACCGGCCTGATCCTCCAGGGCTGCCTTTCTGATGGAAAAGTCTACTTCACCCCAGTGTCCTTCAATGACATTAGACTGCATCAGTGCTTTCAGCGAATGCCTGGAGCTGTCAGTCCTCGTCAAAAGTCTGAAGCGAACAATGTCATAGAAAATCTTAACATTTTCAGGTGCTCCCAAGTGACCCCTGAATTCTGCTTGTTAACTCCCGGTGACTGTCATTTATTTGAATAGTTGCTCTCTTTGTTTATATTCTGTTGTAGCTGACCTTTGCCTTGTCAGGGAAAACTGGCGGTCCTTGTTTTAACCCCCTGCTTGAAGCTGAAATGCTATCTGCATAGCACAGGTGCACACTCTCATAAAACACACGGCGTTCAGACAAAATACTTCCCAGTGAAACTATCCTTGACTCGTCTGATTTTGCGAAGACCCCCCAGAAGGCATTGTGCCAGTGTGATGTTTTGGGCCAGTTTGTTCATCTGTGCTGCTATTCATTAGCAACATACCTTGATGTTTATTGGAACTTGTTAATTAAATTTTTTTTAGCCATACGCTGTAATAAGATGACACCCTTTAGTATCAAGAATACAGCTATTTAATTATTTAACTTTCTACTTTAAATTACTTGCCCTTAAACTATTAACAAACTGATTTCGCCAATACACTACAGGTTTTTGCGGGTTAACATTGCCACCAAAAGCAGGATGTGAGCTGAATAAATACACTGAATGAGGATGAGCAAAAGGGTTTTATTTCTAACGAGAAAGGGGTAGAATTAAACAGGAAGCAAGATTTTAAAAATGTGCTGAATGGCCCACACAAAGCCGCTGTCTGTTTTTTGGCAGTTCTTTCTCCTTCAGTCAGAACCCCTTTTATTTCCAAAAATCTTTTAAGGCAGTTAGTTCTCATTCATCTAGAGATGTTCCTTGGTGCTCCGCTGTCTCCTGCGCTTCATCTCTTTAGCTTTCTGTCCTTTTAAAACTTATAGAATCTGTACTAAGCATCCATCCTGATATTTGTTGTTCCAGAGCAGGTCTGTGACCCAGTGAAACCCTAGTCTTTAATCTTTTCATTGCCATTTCCAGAACTTTCCATTTTTATCTCTGCCTTCTTGAGCTTGCTGAGGCAGCGACTCTGCATCCCTCGTTCTGGCACAACCTGTACGTCGTACAGACTGAGGATAGTCCAGTTTCCTTCCTGCCAGAGGTCTTTTCAGAAGGCTTTGAATCAGTCTGTCGTCTAAAGGACAGTATCCTCAAGAAACTGTAACGTGATCATATCCTCACAACTAATTACCTTCATGGGAACTTTGCCCACTCATACCAAAGACCAGTTTTGGGATAGAAAATAACATGCTTCAGATTTGTCTCTGTTTGTCTCTTACTTGACTGGTCAGACTCCTCACAGTGGTCTGGTGTCAAGACGATTATGACCTGCACTGTCGCCATGAGTGTTCAGTCAATCTCTGCCTACTACCCCACCCCAGGACAGAGGACTGACTTATCCTACAGCCCTAACTCCTTACATAATGGTTAAATGGAGTCAGTAGAATGCTGGAATTCTGAGGTTTTGGTCCTTCAGCTGAAGTTTGCCTAGAAAGATCCCTCTTTGTAGCCCAGAAATAAGTGTACTGTATTACACCACACAAGTAGCCAGTTTGCCGGGTTTAATTTTAAGACCCGTCTGCGCAGCCTGTCTGTACAATTCAGAGAAAAGGAAATACAGAAAACATCTAGAATTGTGTTTCACCCCATGTCCTCCCCATCTATGCTTAATGTGTCCTTTTTAAGCATTTATGGATCGGTGAAATTGTCATTGATCTGTCTGCTGTTGGACTTCTTCCAGTTGGCAGGAAATTGAAGGGTGCCTGTCCCATACGGTTATATTGATGTGTTTAATTTGTATTTTGTGAATGATGATCCATCATCCTTTTCCCCTAGGATCATCTTCTGCTTCCTGCAACCAGCCACAACAAACGGAGCCGGCCGAAGATGTCCGTAGTGCTGCCGGCTATGAATGTGAACGGTACGTAGCCCGCAAGCGCTGGGAGAGATTGAGTAAGGCTGAACACTGTCGCCGTAGCCCGCAAGCGCTGGGAGAGATTGAGTAAGGCTGAACACTGTCGCCGTAGCCCGCAAGCGCTGGGAGAGATTGAGTAAGGCTGAACACTGTCGCCGTAGCCCGCAAGCGCTGGGAGAGATTGAGTAAGGCTGAACACTGTCGCCGTAGCCCGCAAGCGCTGGGAGAGATTGAGTAAGGCTGAACACTGTCGCCGTAGCCCGCAAGCGCTGGGAGAGATTGAGTAAGGCTGAACACTGTCGCTTCTTATTTTCTTTTGGAGATTTTGCTGTACAAACTGCAGAACTCCCTAAGCAAGTATTAGCTTGACGAATGACAAAACTAGGGGGTGTTGCATGACCTCTGGCTGAAGAACTGGTAGGGGATCCCATTTTTACACGAATTTACAATAATTTCAGCATTTTACAATACAGATTTCAAGTTGGCCTTCTGACACTGCTGATGACACGTGCACATATTGGGGAAAAAGTCATGCACATCACATAGGTGTGACATTTATAGCTTTTGTGCTATTTGGCACTTCAGTGAACCCTTTAAAAGACTCCTTCAGGCCTGATGGGAGGTTGGGGGGGGTGCAGTGATAATGACCAGTCCGTTACCTGTGAGTCAGCATATGGTCGGACTCGCTCTGCCGGGAGTGTGGCCAAAGTAAAGGGTTCCTGGAGACCCCCAGAGAGCACCGGGCTGAGTTCCAGAACCCCTCTGACAAGGTTCCACTCAGCTCCTGGAAAGGAACATTGGTATCTCCCCACTGTGTTACAGTGCGGCTGGCGGAGTGATGTCCTCCAGACCCCGACAAAGGCTCGAATCTGCCTGCCAGCCTCTCTCTCTCTGCCATCATTCATAAGGATATATTACTAAAAGCCGTAGGTGTGCTTTTTAGAGGCCGAAGGCGTGTTAATCAAATGGAACCATTCATGCGAAGCTACTTTTTTGGGAAATGCCAGCGCAGTTGGGAAGAAAATATGACGGGTTGAGGTCTCGTTTTCGTTCTGTGTTCCCTGCTGAATATCCTGTTGGATGAGGGTAAAGTGTTGCAATAAAAACAACTCTTAGTTATGTAGCGCTGACAGTTCCTGCATTTGTGTGTTTCTCTCTCTTTTTCTTTCTCTCTCTCCTCCGTTGTCTGCTGAAGGCGGGAGGAGGGATTGCTGTCACACGTCTGTGATTATCTTTGGCAGGTTGTAATGTTTACTTTACATGGCTGTGCCCTGTAATTCACACAGTTTAGGCTGCCTTCCCCTCTTGTGACTCTTCCACCAGGAGGTTCTTCATACAGTAGAAGCTATTGTTTCCTTAGTTTTCTAGCGAGGTCCTTATTCAAAGGTCTGAGTAATAATGTGCCTCGCTTGGAATTTTGCTGGGGTTTTGTTTCTACGGCACTGTGCTGACTTTCAGTGAACTTGACATTTTCGCAGTGAATCCCTAAAACGGCTCAGTGTTGGCATTTTGTAAATGCTTTTTCTGCCTGAACAGAAACTGGTGGAGCATCAGGATTAGTGTTGGAGACATAAAGATCAGCCTCTTCAGCTCCATGGGCCCCTTCCTTGGGTATCCTGACCTCTGTTCCCCCAGAGGAACGGTCAGCTCTGTATCTGGGCTCTCTGGTTCACTCTGACCCCATTAAATCCTGCTTCTCGCGGCTTCTTTCCACTCGTATACCGTATGTCAGATGCCATCCGGATCCTTTAACAACGTGACGCCGACCATAAGCATTACTTGGAATATTTGTATTATTATCAGCCTAAACTAATGCAAAAAATCCATGTAGAATATTTTTCCCACACTGTGAAGAAGGCAGTAATGCTACTTGTATATCAGTACAATGAAAAGGGATTCTGTGCGTTTTTATCACCAGAAAATTATGAAACTTTAGTTAGTGGTCAGCCTAGATGAGTTCAACAGCACAGAACTGATCATTTCTCCAGACTAAAGCCACCTAGGAGAGGAAAATAAAGCGACATGACTATTTCAGCAGTGTAGGGACTGTAGGGCAGTTTCGTATTTTTAAATGTTACATGAAATTGGTCAGTGGGTTAAGTGTCCTGCAAATCAGCGGCCCATCTTGGCTACTGGCGATACATTTTAAAATGATTTTCTAAGTGATGGCTTTATAAGCTCCGGCGCTTCTAAAACACTGCAACATCTATTTCGCTTTATTTATTTTTATATTGCGCCTTTCAGAACAGTCATCCCAAGGCCTTTAGATGGATGTGTTGTGATACATTACAACTTCACTGACATAATAATACAAAACTGGGAAAATGGAAGACAGACTAATAAAAGAAAGAAAGAAAGAAAGAATGAAAGAAAGAAAACCAGATGACAATGGAGGAGAGGGACCAAAAACCCCAAAGTAGGGAAGAAGAATAACTCTGGAGGTCCAAGGTCACCTGGGCATGCTAACGTTACTACCAAAGGAAGTGGTCTTGCTTGCTAGAAGCAAGGTGTGACCCATGGTTATTGGTAATTCCAGAGCCCATCAGTGAGTTAGCTCTCCACTCCAGCCTGTGTAGGTTGGCAGATTGAAGTCTGCACCCACGATATTAAAGATGTACTTGCATTATTTCAGCTGGGGAGACCCTGGGGATTTTGTTAATATGGCAGAGCTGTGAGGATCTGGCTGAACAGGCAGCGGCAGCCATAGCTAATGGAGACCACAGGTGTCCTATCAGAAAGCGTCCGGTCAGCCTGCTTTGGTCATTCCGGACTGCACTGAGCCAGGAGCACATGTGTTAGGCTCATTTCCTGTGGGGCGGGGGGGAGAGGGGGTTATGGTTTCCAGGCTGCCACACAGTGGGAGATCACTAACAGCGTCAAAGGGGAATATGATTTTATCTGTGAATGTTTACTGTCATTTTTCTTTCTTTTTGTTTCAATATAGTACACCCCCCACAATATCCAGTCTGCATTGGCCTCTTCCAGAGGTGGAAAGTTCAGGTTCAGAAAGTACAAATCCAGTACAAGGTTTTGTTTCACCCAACCAGTGGAGTATAAAGAGTCACAGTCAGAGTACTCAACTGATTAGTTGAAACAAAACCTCAGTCTGAATTTCTACTTTCTGAACCTGAACCTTCCACCTCTGGCCCCCTCTCTGTGGAGACAAGTATCAGTTCACAAGAAATTCGTGTTCAGATGTTTTAACACCATCTTTCTTCAGACATTTTGCTGTAAGTCAATGCATGACTTTTCCACAGTTCTCGACAACTGCTTTTGATGACACTCCTTTTCCTTACAGAAACTGTGATAAAGGATGAAGAGTACGAGGTGATGATGCAGATTGACTGTGAAGTCATGGACACCAGGATCCTCCGCATCAAGACCTCAAGCATCCCACCATTCCTACGCACCAATCACAGTGACTCCTACTCTACTCCAGCCAGTGACAAGTCTGCAAGTTCTGTTGGAGTTCTTACTGGGTCTGTCTAGCTTAGCCATCTGTAAAGACCTAAAAAAGATAAACAAAAGCTAATACCTCCATGACAGTGCTGAATGAAAAAAAAAAATCCATCTTTAAGTTGGCAGTCCAGAATAAAGCAGAACTACCTGAAATGTTGCAGTCAGATATCCACTTTTGGCACTATGTTTTTCATGTACAAGCAAACATAAGGGAGACCATGAAAGCCGAGAATAACTTAGTTTGGCTTCCCTCTGGTAGCATATCGCCTTGTTATTCACCTCAGGACATGAAAAACATCAGGGATCCCAGTGGTGAACTCTGGTGCACCCTTAATAGCCTATTGTATGTAAGGAAACACTTCTTTTGAGGAAGTTCTTGACTGTTTGACTGTGTAATCGATTTAGGGTTTGCTGATGACAAATGAATTTGCATAAAGATGTGGATTACGTTAAAAATTATGTAGTGAGTCAGGTGATGTGTAAAAAAGATATTGTATAAGATTATTTCAGAGCAATAAGTTTATTACTGTAATATTTTAATAGTATGACCACTAGGATCTTTTTCTCTGCTGTTTGAAAGGAAGGAGCTTCTAAATTTTCATTTTCTGGTATTTGCACTTTTTTGATAAATAGAATTTTTGTTTTTACTGTTTCTTCATAAATGTGTTGTACACAATTTTATTTTTATATATATAAATGAGGAGTAATTTTTAACTGTAGATGAAAGCCAGTGATACAGTTTTTGGCCTACAGAGCAACATTATGGCACATATGTACAGGCACACAAATGGAAACGAGCAGTTTTGACCTAAGATTTTTATACATAGCTTGTATAGACATAATAGCAGGCTAGATGTAATTACATTAGAATTTGGCTAATATTACACTGCTACATTCTAACTAGTGTTCGTGATAGAAGCCATCTGTTCATGCAATATTTTTAGTATCAGGAGGATTTAATTGAAAACCTGATCTAATGTGCATTACATTTTTTTTAAACAATTCACTCTTCTGTGACAGTTAATGTTAAGTGGAATGTTATTTTTTATCAATTTGTTAACCAGAAAGTGTAAAAATTAAGGTGTTTTATCTTTCTTGAGACTCCTGGATGGCCATACTCCAGTGAATTTAAAGACGGGACACAGTTCGTATGTGTTTTGCCAGTAATTGATTTCTTAAAATTTTGCTTATCATTTGATTTAATTTTACTAACACTCAGTGTTGCTCTGTGAGTTCCAGTTTACTCTAAGTGCATCCTGTATCCAGTGTAAAAAAACTATTTAAAATATTTTGATTTGCAGAAATAGTCATAATTAAAATTACAGATATGTACAGGTACACACAATGGTATGTCCATGAAGTGTAATTTGCTTTTAAGTGAAACCATTGTTTTTATTTCATTGCATATTGACTTTTTTAAACCCATATTATTGTTTGCAGACAGTTACGTTTTTGTTTTTACAAAGCAGAAATTCTGGAATTTGGGGAGCAAAGAGAATTTTGTTGATTTAGACTTTAATAAAATATGGTAAAAGACACAAACGTTGAGGTTAATTCTCTCTGTCCTTTGAAATAGACCAATTTGAAAATTGTGGTGGGCAGTTCATTAATTTGACACTATTTTTTTTTACCTACCTTTCACAGGCCAGCAAGTAATTCTTCACCAAATAGTGTATCCATAGTAATGTACAGAAAACACCAAAATGGTAAAGGACTTTTTATTGATAGTATTCAAAAAAATCTGTAAAGTACATTGAAAAATGTATAAGCAATTAAACATAAAAATATCTAAAAACTAAAGCATCATTTGGGGAAAATGTGCTGGATACCCAGTAACCCAAAAATTATTACACTCTTGCGTTTAAAAATTTTAGCAGACACAAAATATGTTAACTAATACAATGAGTGGTAAGAAACACCTTGTCTTGGATTGTGCCTCAGGGAATGGTTACATTTCCCCACCCTTTGGCAGACACCTGAAATGTAATATGCATGACAGACATTTAAAGGTTTCGGGCTAAAATTATTGGTGTCTCCAAAACAAAAAGTTTTTGCTGTGCAGACTGATCTACAATCCACATATAACTTAAAAAGTTTGTCTTTCTACAAAAAGTGCTGAAATGCATTTTTTCCACTAGCTCTCTCAATACGCGAATATTACACTATATGTGACCTGGTGGCCGTTATCCCATGAGTACAGAGCTCGTTCTTTGGGGTTGTAGTCTACCTGCATGTTGTAAGTGTAGCTGTTTAAGAAGGGAAGGCGTGGAATCATTTGGGTATTCGTATGAGTGTCAAAAGCATAAGAGATGTTGGCGTTCATCTGGTCGAAGCTGTCAATGGCGTACAGGACGCCGCAGACGACAAAGCAGTTGCCGTAGAAGTTCCGTCTCAAGGCAGTCCTCCACGAGGTCTCCTTCTGCATGCTCAGGTCGGCTGGATTCAGCTTGCTGAGGACGATCACCTCCTGGTGGAAGCCTTCATCGTCCATAGCTGGGTATATCACCCACAAGCCACTCTCGTCCACAGCAAAGTCGATATCAGAGCGTCCCGTCCAGTGGTTGTCCTCGTCGACCACTGCATCATCAAGTACGGTCCACGCCGCCACATACCTCCGGTTCAGGTCAAACTTTATGATGTCACGTGAGAAGGCCCTGTTGTAGTAAAAAGCCTTCCTGTAGACTACGTGACCTGTGCCCATCCAGTTGTAAGGCAGTTTGTAGGAGTTGGTTGGGCGTCCTGTGAACATTCAAATGAACAACATGAGTTCTCCAGGAAGTTGATTTGCTTGCATAGTCAGACTGATGCCTGCGAATAGCAGGGGTGTAATACCTTCTTTGAATGCCTCTATGTTGCTGAATTCCAGCAGGTTGTTTCCATGGTAATAGTTAGTGACATATATTCTGCCATCGTTGCCCTTGGGGTCTTTCATCCACGCCCCTTCACTATGACCAAACGTGTTGTGTGTCACAGGATCGCCAATTGTGGCCAGCGTGTCCTTACATATGCCTGGCAATAAAAAAAGTGTCAGTTTGCTTTATGGAGCAAATGTGGGAGACAACCAAATGCTTTGCCCAGAGAGCTTGGTTCACACACATACTAGAATAAATGAAGCTTCATGAACCATCTGCTGTATTTTCTGACATCACTAGATGGTGCTCTCTATTTAAAAAGGGGCTCAGTTAATGCCCCAAAGCAAACCAAGAGCATCATCTAGTGGGTAAAAAAATACAGAAAATTGTTCATGAAGGTGCAGTTGAAAATAACTACAATTTACCTTCTTAGATAGCTTGCCATTACAAGGGGGAAAATAGGGGAATTAGGTTTTTTAATGACATAAACTGCTAGTGTATGTTTCCCATGGCCAAGGGCATCTATTAAGCAGCTAAAAATGACGGCAAAGAAAATGATGGGTTATTATTGACGTAGAGACCAGGTCGGTTATTAAGGGTATTTTAACAACCTCATCACTTCATCATTTCCCACACTGTCTCGGATGACTATGAATCAGTGCTTTGTCTGATCCATTTAATGGGTTGTTGGAAGCTTTTGAAAGGGCAGTAATTATGGCATGTAGACAAATGATTTGAAACGGGATATTAAGATGCATCTATGATTCCAAACACTATAAAGAAAGCTAATTCTTACCAGGGTTCTTCTGGGACTCTGCAGCCATTTTTTGATCAGCTGGACTCTCAGTCCAGCTGATGCGGGACTTAGGTTTTTCTGCCTGGCCGCTTGTGTTAGATGGTGACGAAATATTGGAAACGTCAATTCTGGTGGTTGTGTTGAGAATAGCTGATGTAATTCTGGCCGCCGTGGAACTCGTAATGGTGGAAGCTACAGTGGTCTGGGGACTGGGAGTGGTAACCATGACTGGATCCATGGTTTTGGTCATTTGCTTTATGATTTGCTTTGCTGTGGCAGGAATGGTGGTGGTGAGCTCCATCTCAGCTACAGTGATATTGTGTTTCTGGGTGGTGAGGGTGGTTCGAGCGACCTGGGCTGCTCGGCCAACTGCCTTCTTCGATTTCTTGTTGACTTTGGAAAGGCCCCGTCCCTCCTTGAGGAGCTGATCTTCAATGAGCAGATCAACAGAGCCATCACCGCTGACTACCTCATCAACCACTGCTGTCCAGACAACAAAGAGATACATTTTCTTCAAGTGTTCCTCACACCCTTTAAACCCCTTTTAAATGTTTCTCCCATGATCTGAACGCCACACATGAAAATAAACTGGTGAGTCTAAATTACCATTAGTGTGGGTGTCCTTGTAATGCATGACATGTCATTTACTGTGCATCCTTCCTTATATCCTGTTTCTTAGTATAAGCACTGGATTCATGGTTCTCAACCTTTTTTACATCGTGACCCAATGTGTACCATGCCAGCTCACTTGTGACCCTATATCAAGTGTAGGCTTAAATTAACACTATGATCAAGCGCGCAATGCAATCTGCGATTTATACCACTCAATGCCTATCGCACAAATATGATTGGATTAAACATCTGTGGTTTCACTTCTTGGATTGGTTGAGTGTTCACTAGTTTTGCACTAAGCATTATTAGACTTAAGACCCGTTTGTATAGCTCAATTGTAGGATTGGGGCTGGGAAATCTGATTGGGGATCTGAATAGGAGCTTGCTGGTTTTACAATTCTTACATTTCCTGACCCTTCCAGACCTTGTTGTGACCCAAACTTGGGTCATGACCCACGGGTTGAGAATCATTAAACTAGATCATATCATCCATAACTAGCTAAAGGGTTATTAAAATGGATGGTATAGGCGATTATGCTGTAATAGTCATGTCACTTTAGTAATGCTCTAAATCAAATGGGCCTGAAATTACCCATTTTGTCTCAGGTGAAGTATTGACAGTGTCTTGGAGACTACAGTAGACTTACCTTGGTCCTCCCTGTCCACATTGTCACCCGTGTCAGATTTATAGTACGTCACACCTCTGATGACCACATCCTGAGAAGCTGCCTTAGACTGTGGAGGGCTTCTCTGCTCCTCCTGATCATCTTTGGTTCCTTTATGGAATTCAGGTTGACTTCTCTTTAGCAAGGGTCTGGAAAATCCTTGGTTTCCAAGAAGCCTCTCTTCGTATTTACCCTGTTGTGGAATAAAACATGCGCTGTCCTAAATACATACATCTGTGTTGCTCATGAGTTGGTACTAAGTTATTACATTTAGGCAGATTCAGATTGTTCTCTGATGTTTGTGTTTTTTAATTCTCGTCCCTAACCTGTCCGCTGCTTTTGCTGGAATAAACAGGAGCCTCTTTCATTTGAATCTGCTCTAGGGTGCAGAGGGAAGCATTTATTTTTTGGAAATGTTCAAGCCACTTTGGCTCAGATAAAGCGCTTTTCACATCGTGACTAAACTTCTTGGGTAAGAACCATAGCACACTATGTAGCTGCCAAAAACACCTATTCCATATAAATTATTCACAAAAGGCTTGTACGGACTCGGCGAGCCGCATCTTTAAATATTTCATTTTTTGTTCAGGCAAAGAGTAACAAACAAAGGTCAGTGTCACTGACATAGTGATGTGTGACGTGTTTCCCACTCAAATTAAAGGTTAACATTCTTCTCAGTAATTACCCTAAACCCAAGTAATTAAACCCCAGGAGCATTATGCAGTAACTGCCATTGCAATCGACTGTAATATGCTATTCAAAATTGTATTTAGTCCACTAAAAAAACAAATAAATAAAGCAGTGGTGGAAAGTTCAGGTCCAGAAAGTACAAATCCAGACCAAGGTTTCGTTTCAACCAACCAGTTTAGAATAAAGAGTTACAGTCAGACTCAGTTGGCTGGTTGAAACAAAATCATGGTCTGGATTTGTATGTTCTGGACCAAATCTTCCCACCTCTGTAAAAAAGTATAATAATGAATGCAACTTTAAAAGATTAGGATAGTACATTTTTTTCACAGGCAAAAAGATGATGGGAAACCACTATACATTTTCTTTTGATGTTCTTAGGGAGTTCCTTCAATGGGGTGTGAAGTAGTTTAGTGGAGGAGGTATACATTAGCTGCAAGACACAGCCTACCTCTCTGTTACCGCTTCCTGCGGTTGTGTTCCCCTTTAGTGGAGGAGGTATACATTAGCTGCAAGACACAGCCTACCTCTCTGTTACCGCTTCCTGCGGTTGTGTTCCCCTTTAGTGGAGGTACAGCCTGGCTCACTGGCTTCTTCTTATCTGCTTCCTTGTGACTCTCCTTCCCCTGTGCTGGCCTGTGAGTGCTGCTCTTCACAAAGACTCTCTCCTCTTGGGATTTCTCTGATACTGCCTGGTTTAAAGGGAAACAGGAGTCAGCTAGTGCAATAAAGTAACATAGGCTCATTTTGCCACACATTTTGTAGTTCACAATGGGTTAAACCCAAAGATCAAGCTTTGTATGAAAATAAACTCACACTTTATAGGTTGTAATCATGCAGGTTTACTTTAGTATTTCTGTCATTCTGATTCTCTGATATTCTGGTGACCTGCATAACATCTTGGTTGTCCTAAAATAATATTCACCCACAAAATAGTTCTTAGAACTTTGAAATAAAAAACAGTTAAAGTTGACCTGAAAGAAATAGACAAGATGTAACTACTTACCTTTTCTATGTTTTCAATGCGATTTATTAGTTTAGTTGTGACTGAGTGTAGTTTTAAGAGATCCATTCCGTAAAATGCCCCTTCCAGTAATTCCATAATGGTTGAGAGCTGGTAAAAAAGGTTTTTCCTTTCGTAAATGTTGACATCATTTAAAAATACAAATTGCGCTACTCGAAAACACTAATTGATGTAGGCTATAAACTTCAGATTCTGATCAACCCAGCAACAAGAACATAGGGGAAAAATATATATCATAGGCTCCCAAGGTAATCTGCATGATGTTCCACGTTTTCACGCCTTTTACCTTAATATTATCTTTCCCTGCATCTTGCAGCTTCTTCAACCTGAAATCCCCCTCGCAGGGGTTCAGAGCCGAAGGCGGGGCAATGCACGTGCACTTGCAGTCCGACCCTGAAGTCACAGTCTCCACTGTATAAAAATCCTGTGGCTCGGCGCTGCCTTCATGGATCCGCCGGCAGGCGCTCCTGCTCAGGGGTCTGACAACACATTTACACCCACAGTCAGAGCCTTCCGAAAGCGCTTTCACTTTGTCATAATCACCCAGCAGCTACAATGGAAAAAAAACGTATGTATTTTCCACAAGTACAATAAGCGCACACATTTCAGTACATTGTCAACATATATTTTCTGATATAACCGTTCTAAATTATACACAATAATAGCGAATATTTCTACGTTATAAAGCTGTTTTATTATACATTATCTTGCAATTACTTAAACACATAGAAAGGCAATTTCCATTATTTATAAAGCGCTCCGAAGCGTTCAGAATATTTGCAAAAGCACATTTTAAAGCTATTGTTACTCAAAGCACGTTTTTATTGTTCTAAAATAGCTGCGCATACGAATACAAAATAATTCGACTTCACATTATTGACAACTGAATCAATTAAATACCTGAGTTAAAATGTTTTGCTGATTATCGATTTCCTCCACAAGAGTCACGTTATGTGGATTCACCTCGTCGTTGAACTCAAAATTTGTATCTTTTATCTTGTTTTCCACAATTTCATTTAACGAGACTAAATCACAAAGAAATATTGAAAACCACAAAATGCAGCAAAGATCCAGATTTGCCATTCTGTACATAATGAAGCACCAGTATAGCGGGTTTACTGAGTATCAGTTAATGCAGTTAGCCTTTGAAAAACAGAGGAATTTAACTTCTGCCGTTAATATTGAATTTTGCAAATGAATCCAGAAATGTCACGAGAAACCCGATTGAAATGGCTTTGGAAGACACTTTTCATGTAAATTTCATTGAAAGATCCTCAGTAATCGTTCTGCTGTGTATGAACGGTGGAGACACAAATGAAGTTAGTGAAGGCTCCGTATGAAGAGGGAAGGACCTTCGAATTAATCGAAGATGGGAGGAGTTTTACAGATGGCTAGACTACCCTGGAATTAAGAACGCCCCCATCATGTACCATTTGAACACTTTTTATCTAAGATACTTAATTAATTCCCATGTACCGTTCATTCTATGTTAAGTCTTGGTTCGTTTTATAAAAATAATGTCACTAAAAAAGAAATATAAGGGATGACCTACAATATCCATCAGTAATTTATTATTACATAAAAGATTTGAGATATGCGAAATAATAGGCTACATTAAAACCAAGGAGTCGCGTTAGTTTCTAAACAGCAGATTCAGAAATAAGAGTTACTCAGTAGCGCCATCTGTCAGTCTTCTTCTCTCTTCATACTTACATAACCGTATTCAATCCAATATACTTTAATAATATTAAAGGCAGAGAGGCTTAGTAGATATTCATGCAGTAATTGCTGCAAAATTTTGACAGAAGATCTTTGTGGTGACAGTTATAATTATTTAACATTTTAATGCGCTAACATCGTTAAATGTAACTGTGTTTTATTTTTCTCAAAAAATATATGGGGAGTCTAGAAAATGTTTCCGCACAGAAACATTCACGTGGCTACTGCCTTTGTTTTTGCCCCCATCTGCTGGGAGAAGAAATAATATAATAAATTTTGCTTATACTGCACAATTATTGTTTTATGTTAATATCTATAATACAAATGATATCCATACAATAATATTTTTTGTCATACTGATTGTCTAACGTGATGTTGCTGTGTAATTGTGTTTTATGTTGTGGAAAATGTTAATTTAAGCTTACCTATCATGGCTTATCGAAAGCTAAGTCCACCGACGTCGGTCGTGGGCTTATTAATGATTCTAATTCTGAAGACAAGTATTCAAATAAGTAGCTATTCGCTTTTATATAGGCCTTTGTCATTTCAATGGTCCTTTCAAATTGGTTTGTAGCGATAAGAAAGCATAATGTACATAACACAAGGTTACATTTTTATATTCAGTCACCAGGAGAGGCAGTCTGAAAAAGAAGTTTGGATAACACTGATAGGGTATGCAGTATAATTGTATCATTTCATTAACAGTATTACACCTTATTATGAATAAGTGGTTCCTATTGTACATCTAATAAATCCAGCAAGGAAAGGACTTTCTTTTTTCAATTTTGTATGAATTATCCTGTGACGCCTTTTTCTTATTGCTGGAATAATTATAATTATACATTGACATTTTACAGAAACATCAGTCATCAGACACAGTCGACTGTGTCCAGGTTTCTACACAGGAAACAGGAGCCAGTCTTTGGAAGCTGCATCGTCCTATAGGTGTTCTACACATATATTTATAAGAATATTTTTATTAATACCAAAATTGTGGAAATCTCTGAATATATCGCGATATCATTTTTAGGGCTTATCGCCCAGCCAATTGCATTTGTGTTGTGGATTTTGCATGCGTGTTTTGCCGTTTGCATGTGTGTTGTGGTTTTTGCGTTTGTATTTGTATTGGGGCTTTTGCATTGCGTTGACCCATCTGGGCCACCGTACATACGTCATTTTCGTAAAGGAACTAAACGATGTTATCCTGTAGCGAAAATTATTCTAATGTGATTTTGGTAGTCTGAACGTCAATACGCGTTTTATTGCACTACAGACTATATGCATTGGTGGTCAACCAGAACAATTGACGGTCAGACAATCCCATAAAGAAACAAAGTCGACAATGAGGAGACGAAGGCCGCAAGACTTAAAATATGGTTCGTTTTAAATCCTAGTCGTTAAGGAAATGCACGAAAATAAACCCGCTGTTAATTCATACCCTTTAACTAGCCGTGTTTAAACTACCTGCTTGATCTCCACCGGTCCTCCTGGTATTTTATTCGTGCCTCTATTGATAGACGTTCCAACAGTGTTTAAGTTTGATCTGTGTAGTTGAGTTTGCACATATTCTATCCTAAAGATTATGTATCTTTTTTTTTGGACAGCGGTAGATATTGCTACTTAATTGAAGGGTTTTCCAGTCTGTTCCTGCTTTCTCATATCTTTAGGAGATGTTATATTATTAATATTGCAGTGACTTATAAAATTGTATTTGGCTGTAATGAATGATCGTAGTAGACCCCGTGACTGCTGTGTATCCCAGTGTTGTAGGAACAGTATTTTAATCAGCAGAGTTTTCTGATTTTTTAATATTGTAATGTTTTAAAAACGCCAACCATACTTAAGTTACGTCTTACTCCCAAACTAGTTCTTACAGAATGTTTTCCCAGTTCGTTGCGCAGTTTTACTAGATAACCCGGAGGCCCAATACCATACGTTTCAGCTTTCAAACGTAGATATCCTGCAAAGTGACAGAATGTCAACCCAACTTAGATTCATATTTGACCACTGTATCTCTGCTAGACATAATTAATACGTTTATTTCTTCCTGTGCATCTTGAATAATTAGTCAATGTTTTGCATGCTGGGAAAAGTAAATTAAGTACACTTTAGCCGATACTTTGTTTGTTGTATTTCTGAAAGGCGTTTGTAATTTGAAAAACAATCCGCCCCACCCCATCATTTTTTACCAGCATTTTTTGTCCCCCCAGATACTGGAACCCAGACAAGTTCCCGTAAAAGGAAGGAAGCAAATAATGCGACAGGCTCTGATTCTGACGAAGGTATGAAGAATGACTTATGAAGAGCTGAAATAGTGGGAGGAACATGTAAAGGGAGAAATGAAAGGGAAAATTGTTTCTTGCATCAAACACTTTATGGAGCTCTTGGGTACTTAACACATCATTAATGTTTTTCTGTAGGGTCTCCAAACAAGATCCAGAAAACCTCTCTGTCTGGAGATGAGGAGGTCGCAAATGACAGAAAGGAGGACACAAATGCCATGCTCCTGGACTTGGATGAAGATATGGATCAGGAAGATGAGGAAGTCATGACTATGGAGATTTCAAACTGCCGCACGGATGCAGAAGGTAAGAAGGAGTAGTGGTATGGAATCAGATTTGTGCCAATATTATCAAGCAAAACTTTTTTGACATCAAGCAAAAACAAGGCTTTGAGAAGAAAAAAAACTAACTGAAGCAATGTGACCTAAGGGATTCGAAGGTTGCTGGTTCGAATCACCAGCCTGCAAGGTAGCGCCCCCAAGCACTGCTCCCCAGGCGCTGAAATAGCTGCCCCTGCGTGTCACAATGTCACATATGGGCTAAATGCAGAGGACACGTTTCATTGTTGTGTGCTGTGGTGTGTCAGCAATGACAATGAATTATTTTCACTTACTTTTATGTGAACAAACTCTAACGGCTATGCTGTAAATTAATGTCTCATTTAGTTTGTTGCAAATAATAAAATTGCTGAATAATTCAGCTGCTGCGATGGAAACCTTTAGTCTGGATTTTTGCTTCTGTGTCCAGTTTAGCGCCACCCTTAGGTTTTCTCAGAATTACGCCCATCGGGATGTAGGGGGAAGAATAAAAGATGACTTGTTAGGCCCTATTACAGTATATCCATATTCCTTGGATCAGGGGTCCATGCTTTGAAAAAGTTTTTGAATAAATAAAATGCAGGAGATTAACTAAATTAAAGATTTAAATACAAGTATTACAAAGATAAAAGTAAAGACAACCAATTAATTGAAGGCAGTGGGGGAAAAGGCAGTTTTTAGTGTCTTTTTAAACCACTTACAGTTGGGTTGATAACCCTGCTTTTAAAGCTCATGGTGTACAGATTTTATTGAGGCTGGGTCTCTAAGGTGGTAATTATGTTTACTGTGAGATTGAAGACTGTGAGATAGTGCTGATCTGCCATTTTCAACTTTCTTTGTCTTAGACTCTCCTGCTGAACATCTGAGGTCAGAAAAGGAAGAACGTACAGACAGCGTCTCGATGGGAGAATTAAGATATGATCTTAGGCGCAGGCCTATCCGTCCAAGACTGGCGGAAGAAGGTGGTTAGTTGTTTTTTCTGTGTGTCACTGACAGACACAAAATACAGATATTTTTAAGCAACTTTATTTTAACATTATGAGTGTAAGGGTCATGGTGTATTTGATTTTAATTGAATATAGCCATTAAAGGTTTACCTTTAGTATTTTATCAGATACTTTTATCCAAAAAAATTTAGCACATTTTTGTTTTACTGGGCTTCTAATGCAAAGTCCTACTAAGGACTGGACAGTTCAGTGATTCAAGTTTTTTTATTTGTCATATGCAAGGTATACAGTTAGACTAACCTGTAATGAAATTCAGTTGACAGTTTAAAAATAGCTAATGCCACATCATTGGCAGATTACTCATGGTTAATGCCATTTCATTGGCTGATTATTCACATTTCTGAGGTGACCTACACACTATCCTTAGCTTATACATTGCACACATAATGGAAGTTGATTTTTAAAGTATTTGTAAGATATCTTGCATCCTACCCTAAAATCTACAGGATCCAGGTATCAGACAGAGAACCGGTTGCCTCTTGACAGGGGTGACACACTCTCACCCTCATGGCCTGGAATTAAAGAAAAACAGAAGGTTCAGGTAACCTGGCAGAAAGGTAACTCTGTCTTTTGTATTTTTAAAAACTTATAAAATAATACAAAACATTCGAATTCCAGTTTTACATTTTCTTTATTCTGTCAAATTTTTATTATTTTTTTTTGTCTAAGCTATGTCATTAAACATTATAGGGGTGTATCTTTCTCATATAATACAGTATGCCTCTAGATACATTATCTACTAGAAAACACAAAAATATATAGTTGATAGGCTCCAGGCCTTCCGGTGACTCTGACCGGGATAAGCATTGCAGGATGGATAAATGGACAGTTTAGATCTATTTAACATACACTGAAGCATCCTACATTTGGAAGCAAATCATGTTTTTTTTTTTCATAAAACTTCATTGTATTTTGCACTGTAAAAACAACCAGAGACTGAAGAAATTGTATAAAAGGCACGTGATCAGTTTAGTGATGCTGTATCAGCAATTCGGCAGGTTTCCTTCTAAATTTTAGCTGTTTTGGCAGATTTGAATCAATGCAGCCATATCGTAGACACTTGGACTGGATTTCGTATTTGAAGCAGTGTTTTGTTACTCCCTTAAAATCAAAATAAGGTTTACATGTATTTGCTGCCATTTGTGCCTAAGCAAAGTACCAGTTTTGCCCATATATACAGCTATTCTGGATGACTGAAAATGTATTTTTAAATGTCAAGGGCTGGCAAAAAGGTCTACAGATTCCAGGTATCAGGCAGAGATCCAGCTGTCTAATAAGACCAACACGCTCTTACATTCAAGACCTGGAATTAAGGAGAAAGACTGGCAGGTAGACTGGACTAAAGGTGACTGCCTTTGTGCACTTGGCAATAAAACAGTGGGAAAATGTTGAATAATTTGAGCCTATTTTCCTTGCAATGTTGGCTTCTTGAGAGACATGATTTATCATTTAGGTGTAAACCGAACAAACCAGAGAGATCCGAATTATCAGATTTCAGAAGCACCCTACTTAACGGCAAGCACAGCCGTCCCTTATCTGCCGGAAAGGGCTTTTCCAAGTCGACTGACTGCTGAAACGAGAAAAAAAGGTGGGAACACAGGTCTAGTTTTATCACAGCACTTTACAGCTATTCAGAGCGTTGTTGATATAATTTCTATACATATAATTTTACATTTAAACATATATTTAAAGTTTATATTCATTGTTTTGTTTTGGCTTTACAGGAGACCAGTTAAAGTACTTTGCAGCAATCTTCCTGATCATCTTGGTAATTCTGCTTACATTCTGGTCACTGAAGACAAACACCAGCAAAAGGGAAATAGACTTCAGTGACATTTTGTTGGATGTGAAATCAGCTTTCCCGAGCCAGAGGGTGGAGTTCTGGAAGAGGTGCACCATCCACCTGCAGCGACACCTCAGACTGGCCCAGCCCACAGAACCTGTCAGCATGATCCTGACCTCAGGCTATGGGGCGAAGGAGACACTGCGATGCCTAGCTGACCGCTTGGCGACCGCCTTCTCCTCGCACTTCCATAATGCCTCCATTCTGCACATCGATGGCGCCAGTAGGGCGGCGCTAGACAGCGACCAGGTCAAGCTAGACATGGACCAGAAGATGACGGGCGCCTTTGAGGGTGGCCAGATGGCAGCAGTAATCCACCGCTTTGACGACCTCCCACCGGCGTCAACGCTCATCTTCTACCGGTACTGCGACCACGAGAACGCCGCGTACAAAGCGGTGTTCCTGGTCTTCACTGTGCTGCTTCCTGTGGAGGAGCTTGACTCGAAGCTCAGCCTGAATGCTGTGGAGGAGAAGGTACAAGACCACATCCAGAGCCGCTTTGTTTCCACCAACCAGCCAGGCACTTTTAATCAGATGGACCATGACAAGTTTGGAGGCTTGTGGAGCCGCATCTCCCACCTCATCCTGCCTGTGTCTGTGGAGGAGAACATCGAGAGAAACGGCTGCACTCGCTGAAGCAAACTGGACTAAACTGTACCAGTTATATCTCAATTATAGATAAAAATCTAATTATGTTTAAGCAAAATTAAGGTATTCTGTTTGAGTCTGTATCCTTGTTTTGTTTTCTATTCTGTGTAGCCTGTAATGTGTTTTATGAACCTTAAGCCTACATTTGTAATATCACTGAAGGTTCCCAGAACTTTATGGCAGTCTTCACAAAGTGAGCAGTGGTGTCTTAATGGTCAGGGAAGTGCACTTGTAATAGAAAGATTGCATGTTCGACTCCCTGACCAGCAAGGCACCACTGAGGTATCCTGAAGGTACTACTCCCCAGTTACTGAATTAGCTGCCTCCAGCTATGTCACGACGTTACATGCAGAGGACACATTTTGTTATTGTGTGCTGTGGTTTGTCAGCAATGACCACTGATCACTAAATCCTAAATATACATGGAGGGAAGGTTATATGTTTCCTTCTTCTTAGAAACATCCCATTTCCGGATAATCAGCGCTATAGTTTGTGCGTTTAATTTAAATGGCATATTGTCTTTGTCAATAGTCCCTAAATAAAGGTAAGTAGTTATTTCTTGCCTCAAATATATCTATCGGAGGATGTTGAACGAAACACTGCTACCAAAATTTTATTTATATTCCATTTTATACATATTCATTTTCCAGCTGGTACATTTTTCCGTTTGCGTGATTGCCAGAAATAATTACAGTGAGCTCAAATATGTATTTGTATAATCCATGGGAAAGCTAATAGATTTTGCTCCTTACGTTGATGTTTAGAGTCTTGGATACGCGTCAGGTGTTTTTCTTCCTTCTCAATCCGTACAATCTCATTACTCATATTACTTCATCTAGGATATCTGGGATTAGATTATATCAGATGGGCAACGAGATGAAAGGAGTCTGATGCACTTAAAGGAAGCCGGGTGTCACTGGCCAGGTACACAGACACAAGACCACCGTGTGGAAAGGAGCGATCATCGCTAAACAGCCGCGGACTGATACCGACATGCTGAGTTCCGCACCCCAGCATTGTCAGTCAAAGTCAGCATGACCACCCCCTTTTGCTCTGGGCCAGCAGGTTGTAAAGCCATTTTTGCATCAGGGCTTCCTCTCATTATACCGCTTAGTGCGAGTCTCCTTTTAAACTGTGATTAAGGTTTTGGGGGGGTGGAAGTATCGTTGTTTTTCAGTTGAAACATGTACTGTCCGTACAGCGCAAGTTCCTGTGTTTTGTTTATTCGCGGTCCAGTCTTACTTCTATGGATTTTTGGGAAAGCATCAAGCGTCAGCTTTAAGGTAATTCTCATGCTTTTACATTGTGTGTTTTCTTAGTCCCCCATGAGCAATCAGCGGCTCTGAAACGTGTATTTGCGCTACCGCGGGTTCAAAGAAACGGATTCTGGATTTGCCGGTGTACTATAAATCGTCACACTACAAACATCAAAAGCTAAATGTAACATTGTTTTTTTTTCGATTAAACCAACGTATTTTATCAGTAGCCTATATTACTGTTACAATTCGTCGCGCGTGTGCATTTTGATATACACTAATATTTTGCATCCGATATCCCTGTTTAGTGGAATCTAGCTTGCGATCAAAGCGCGGCGGGAGTCGTATTGCAAGAATTCCCGAAGTTGTCGAAGTGGCAGCACATTATTAGGAATAGGCTTCGTGGTCCACTGAGTTTAAATTAATGGGGCTGTGCAAGATGGACCTGCTGCACAAACCAGATTTAAATGTTGGGAGCTGCATTCTTAAGTAAATTGCATTACGCTTATTGTGTTTTTAAAGAATAGTAATTAGGTTTAAGTTCGACATCGGCGGATGTGAGGGATAACACGCGGTTACACGTTACCTGAGTTGTTTTGCGTTAGAAGTGTAGCCCACATCCAGGATTGCAGTGTTTACACTTCCCTATTCTGAAGCGATTTCGTCCTTTCAGGTGTGTGGATGGTTTAATCCTAGGTTATAAATTCAGGTAGTGCGTACATCCGTACTACCACCGCACTGTTTTGTATGCGAATATCCTATTTTGTTTGTAAGTGTCGAAATGTTTGCCGGGTGTGGGTATTAGAAAGTGAAGTGCACAGGAACCGTGGATCTTACGAAAATCTCCAGTCTTTCTGCTGGTTTTTACCCGATCGTCATTCAGACTCTGCAGAATCCCCAGCTGACATTAAAATATCACTTGAGTTCAGTTTAATCTCTCCTCCAAACTGGAATCGTAATCCGTCCTCTCCGAGAGGGTCCCGCTGTTCGAAAGCCTGCTGCATTAAAACCTAAGAACGACTATTGTCTGTTTAGATTCCATAAGATCCACAGGGTATCCAGATACAAAACATATGGACTTGCAGATTATTTTTTGGACAGGCTGCGAGACCCTAGTCAGACGTAAGAGGAATAACAACAAGACGGCCTTCAGGTGTGCGTCGGTTTTCCTGTATTATGCTTTTTTAATTCCAACCTGGCCGCATAAGGCGCTTATGACTTAAGTCACTGAAAGGACCAGACATTTCTCCATATTTTCAACAGTTTCTAAATGTATTGTTTTGTCTTCTCTGATAACAAATAAATACATTTCTAAGGTCTGTTCTGACGTGTTTTATGAATATTACACCGGACAGGACTAAAACATTAACTCAACACTGGTATGTGTAGGTACATCATAAAATTCGAAATAAAATGTATGCTTTCATGCAACTAAATGACCAGGGATATACTTACACATGAATGTTGATAGAAAATCTTGATTGAAATTGGTGGAGAATGTGGAGAGGCCTGGTGTGTGTTAATGGTTTGGGATAGCAGGGCTGAAGGCAGCATTTAACCCGATGTTTAGATAAGACTAGGCATCTTAAATTCCTCACAATCACCTCCATCATCCCCTTCATTTAAGGGTTTGCTCACTTCTGTTCTGTCTCTCTACCTCTCCCATCATTCATCTGCTTTTTAATTCTGTGGGGGGCACAGATCAATTTTTTTTATTGTTATTTTGTCTTCGTACTACTTACTAACGAAGTAACAATTCCTAGCCAGACCAGAGCTCTGTTTTGAATTTAACCCACTAGTTTTCATCCTCACTTGCCTCTGGGTGAGACTATGAGGGGAATCCCCCCCATGGGACAGTATGAAAATACATTAACCTGAAGCCTCTCCCCCAACTGTCACATGGATTAAATTGTGAAAGAATTTGGTCTCCCTGGGGATGAAACCGTAAGAATGTGAACAGTGGAGAGAGAGTGCCTCTGGACTGATGTCTGCTTTGACTTTGGCAGAAGATGTGAAGGAATTCTTAAGATGTAGCCTATGCTTGTATGAAATTGTTGCAAAGATGTCTGAGTTCTTATTGGTTAAAATGCAAAAGGTAAAAACTAAACTTTTTTTTTTTGTATCTTTTTAGAATTTTCGAATTAAGAATCATTTAAAATATGGAAATTTTAGTTTACCCCTACTCTTATGTATGTAATATATACTGCGAATTAATTTACATATAAATGGAAATAATATAAACAGATTTATTTTTTTTTAAGAGAACCTTCAGCTGTTGTTTTTTTTCTTAAGTGGAATGACGCAGGAGAGGAAGCGGGGGTCACAGCTGGAACTTAAACAGGCACGAAAAAGGAGGGGGGGGGATCGTGAAAATTAAGCACTGTCTCTGTGTCCCTGCCAGGACAGTAGTGAAGAGGGGGAGGTGTCGCAGAGCCAGCACAAGGAGGTGGCCCAGTGGTGGGGGGAGTGGAGCAGCTGGTCCACCTGCTCACGGACCTGTGGAGGAGGGGTCCAGTCGCAGGAGCGCCATTGTCTGCAGCAGAGGTATCCGCCCCCTTCCCCTGGGCCCCGTCCCCTTCCCATGGGGTCTTGCCCAGCAGCAACACAACACCGGTGATCTGCTCTTGTGTGGACCTTAGATTCAGGATAACTCAGGAAGAATATAATTCCCACCAACCCGCTAAATGAGTGGCGACACCTCTAATGACACCCTGATGCGTCTGGGTGCTCAAGCGCCGGACTGAACCTGTAGAACTAGAGGTGTCCTTGTATTCCAGTATTTCTGCTCAGACTTTCCCTTCCATTTTCCCTCTTTTTAGTTTTAAATGGTGGTAAAGGTAGAAAAACAGACGATGGTCTGTTAGCATGTCTTAGCATGTCTTGCAGTTGGAAGTGAGTTTGTTATGTTTTATGCTAAAATAATGGTAATTTTTCCCATGTCAGGAGTAGGAGGGGCCCCATGGAGTTTGTTTTTGTCTTGAACCCCAAGAGTCATTAGAATCGCCTCTGAAACAACGTATCATATATCTCTACACATTGTTTGTTACATCTTCATAATCACGATATAATTATTATGATATAATTATTATATTCTGCAACATAATAATAAAGAGAGAGAGAGAGAGAGAGAGAGAGAGACACTGTTCAAGAATCATGAAAGAAAATTGCATCTCGATTCTGTGTGAAACAAATCATGATTAATATTTTATACAAATTTGTGCTGCTCTACTCCACTTTTTATGACTTTGCTGCAGTCATAATGAGGCAAAAAAAAGCGTGACGTTAGCCAAATGGGTATAAATGCCAAGGGTACGTACAGTGCGTACAGCTGCAGGCGCCCACGTTCTAAAATGTTCTTTTTTGATTAGTTCTCAGCTTAAGTTGTCCAGCTGAATCTTATTATCACTCTTGTATAGTGGTGGGGATGAAGATTTTTTTTTTTTGGTGGGGGGGGAGTCGCACATCTGGCTGTTTCTTAATGGTCCTGGACAACTGCAAAATAGCCTGGGAAAGTGCAGTATCTGTAATCGTGGTGAGAGCTACAAGCACAAATCCTCGATAGTCTTTAACATCAGTCTGATGCTTAATATGCCAAACCCAGAAATGGTGTAGGGGATATAATTATGGCCCTTGATCACTGTTGAACTGATTTTTTTCTCCCCCCCAGACTTGTAGCCACATATAATGGCAGCACCTCAGTTTGCTCCGGTTCTGCAAAGAAACATCGGCTGTGTCAGAATCAGGTACAGATGGTTTAATAATGACTGGATTATTGTTCCCTTGAGAGCAAGCCATGCTGATGCTGGTTATTGTGTGTGAGCATTAATGTCTTGGTTAATGCCAGATGAGCTCAATATTTAGGCTGTTTAAATCTTAATGTGACAGAGTCCCTCATTAATGCCTCTGCAATACTGAGAAGGATGCTCAAATTTGTGATTTACTGCTTTATTTACTGTTTAAATAGGCAGAAATTATGTTTGTGTGCAAGTCAAGCTGTTATTGTTTTGTGTCTTTCTTCCGCCGGTCACCAGCTGTGTCCCAACAACGGGGTCAGTTTTAAACAACTGCAGTGTTCCTCATTCAATGCCAAAGCCTTTGGCCGAAGATACTATATGTGGGTCCCCCTTTACCCGGGTGAGCTTGTTTGTTAAATTGTGTAACTTCTATTGCTCTGATGTGTGTTTGTTGACAGAACGGGTGTGGCATATTTTGGTAAATAAAACAAAGATATCCTCAGTATGAAATAAGCGCTGACCTCCACTTCGAAAGGAACGAGTCAAGTTGGTTAGGGCATCTATCAAGGATGCCTCCCTGGGGAGGTGTTTCAGGCACGTTCAACTGGGAGGGGACCCTGGGGCAGACCCAGGACATTCTGGAGAGATATCTCTCAGCTGTCTTAGGAATGCCTTGGTATTCCCCTGGAGGAGGTGACTGGAGAGAGGGAGGTCTCTACTTAGACTGCTGCCCCTGCTGCCCAGCTCCCAATAAGTGGCAGATTATGAATGAATGAATAATTGAATGGATGGATGAATGAATGAATGGTTCCAAAACCTTAATCTTATCTTGTCTTAGACAGGAATGTTCTTAATTGGGTTTGAGATCAGGGGTGGAAGGCATTGTTGATTAGGGAATGCCGTACACATGTGTTCTTCATCGTTTTATTTCCATTATTAGAAAGAGAAAAAAACTGTCTGATTTTCCTCTTCAGATGATTACATCAGCATCTCAAACAGGCCATGTGACCTCCAGTGTACCACAAGCACAGGGGAAAAGCAGCTGCTGGTCCCGGCCCAAGATGGTACATACTGTCGGGATTGGGTCTACCAGGGGGTCTGCATCGAAGGCCGGTGCCAGGTATGTGGACACTTCATTGGCCAGTCACCATGACTCTTAACCACGACCAACACCTATGTACATGGCTTGCAGAGTGTTGTTCGCATGGTTGGTTCACAAGGTGATTAACCTTCATGGATAAAAGAAAGGCATAGTGTTACATATATGCAAGGTGACAGTGGTTTCTGATCTTAGCTCCCTAGTTGGTTCCCTTAGTTCTCTTCAGCTTCTCTTGAGTGGTTGTTTCTAAGAGATTGTCCTTCTCGTAACTGGGCTGCAGGTGGTGGGATGCGATGGGAAGCTGTACTCCGGTAAGACAGTAGACAAGTGCGGAGTCTGCGGTGGAAATGGGGCCTCCTGTTACCGTGTCTCGGGCTCCTACCGAAAAGGAATCGCACAGTTAGGTATACATGTGGCTGGCAATCGGGGATTGTAAACCTTGATTACTCTGTGTTATCAGAAACGTTACACTAAATACAAAAGGTCTGTTGGGTGACGTAGCTTGTATTGTACATTTATATGTGAAGGTCTCCTCCCCCTCTCAGTTGTCCTCATGGCTGAGCTTTTTGGTAGATGCAGCATCATTGGATTGTAGTGAAGATCTACAATGGAATTCTTTGACCAAGTGATTCTTCCGCGCTGCCCCTGGTAGACTGCCTATCTCAGATGAACCAATTATGTTAATTGATGTGGTACTCAGTGCCGAGGCTGTTTGCAGTTTAAAGAGAGCTGGGATGACTGGGCTGGCAGGACCAGGCTTTAAAACAGCTGCTTCAGCCCTTCATTCTGGCATTCTAGAAGTGCTGCGAGCAATTTGTGCTGTCTTTTCAGGTTACCTGTTCATAACTAACATTCCTGCTGGAGCCACCGACATCCAAGTAATCGAACGCCGAAAGACTGAGAACATTCTTGGTAAGTTTCCTGAGGAAGAGCAGGGCAGGGAAGCTGCTTTCTGTAAAAGGTCTGCTAATGGCTAAAATGTCACATATTGAAAAATGAAGTCCAGCTGCTCACCTTCACAGTCCAGCAGAGCATTGACTGTGCAAAAGATAATCTTTTAATGTGTCTCGTTAAAAACAACTGTTACGATAGCCATTGTAATGAGTGATGCATCCTGCTCATTCATGACTAACCTTGAATTCATGCAAAACTCTGACAAATGACTGAAGTCTTACACTGCTATGGCGATCTACTGATGTATCTGATCTCTCCCCAGCTCTGTCGGATGAAGCGGGACACTTCTTCTTCAATGGGAACTCTGTCATCGAAAATCCCAGAAATTTCCATGTGGCTGGCACGATCTTCAAGTACAGGCGGCCCACTGGCCTCTTTGCTGATGGGTTTGAGTACATTATTGCCCAAGGTCCTACCAATCAAGGTCTTAACATCATGGTAGGTGTTTACATGTGAGAGATGATGCTAGTGTCTGTTCATCTGTTGGTTCTTAACCCGTCATGGTTTTCCTTGGAATATCTCTGTGACATCTCATGGAAACTGTTTAATATAATTATTAATCATGGCATGAAGGACTAACTGTCTTAGTTGACTGCATAGTTCTATAGAGAATATCTTTCCTCAAAGTCATAAATCCTGAGAAGGGCAAGATGAGCAATGGCCCAAGGCAGCATCTTCTGAGCTGGTGTTGACTTCTCATGGGGTGACAGTGGTGAAGCTTGTTTAGGGCACCACTTGGGCTTTGACCACTTGTTGGTGTGCAAGACCTGTCCACAAAGATCATGCATATCAGAAACTTCATTAATAGGTTGTGTGTGTACGTAACGCTACGATAAAATATGTTATAGGGCCAAAAGTATTTACCACATCACTACATTTAATGATGCTGATCTTCTGGCTCATACATTTTTGCATGGATCTAATACTTTTTGCATTACCTCCAGTATTACAACTTGAATGGGAAGATGCCACACATCACGTACGAGTACACTGTGCCTTGGACACCTTCGCCTAGAACAACGGCAGCCATGATGTCAGCCCCAGAACCAGTCCAGCTCGTGCCCCCTGGGGCTGTTCCAGACCCAGACCGGGACGCTAATGAAACTTTGGTGGAGCTTGCGTACAACAATGAGATTGATGTGAGTGAGCAATATAAGTTAGGGAACAGCACAAGTGCCTTTGTCCAGTATAAGGGTATAGTTGGGGACCCGGGCACAGATGTCTTGGAATGGAGGTTCCAAACCCCACCAAACTTCACCAGTGTTCCCAGTGATGTTCTCTTTCAGAACAATGTGGAGAACAGCCAAGAGGGTCATGAGGGAACAGCTGATGTTGGTGAGTCACACTGAAAGGACCAACTCCACTGTTAAGTGATGTATGTGTCCTTCCATTTAAGTGTACGGATGGTACCTAAATGTAAGGTTGCACAATTCCAGAAATTGGGGGGGGGGACACCTTGATGGCACTAATAGTGATATTGTCTAACCCGGTGCTTGAGAGTAATTATGCGAGCGTAAAAACATGCCAAAATTAGCATCTGCATCAAAACACACTGTATGTCAGTAATTTTCTATGTTGTATTATTCATACAGTTTGCTTTCGTTGTATCTGAGCTCATGCGGGGTTCCAGAGAGTTTAATACTTCCAAAATTCCCCAGCTTAACTTCCTATGGAAAGTCTCCAAAAATGTTCTGCCCCTTTGCATCCCTACTTCCCATGGAAGGTTTCTGGAAAGTTTCCAGAATTTCATTGGAAATTTTCATCCCCTTTGCAACTCTATTTAAATATAATGCTCAGGTAGTGTGATGTGGTTAAGGCTCTCACTTCCTGAATGGTTTGCTTGAATTTTTTTATTTTTTTTTAACTCTTTTGTTCTCAGGTTCTGATTCCAACGTGGTCAACGGGAATGGCGCTGATCTAAATGGAACGCATCGGACTTCCAAACTCCTTTTCAGGAGCCAACTTTTCAAGCTGGGGATCCCGTCCAAGGCGGGGGGCCTTCGACGGATGTGCAAGAACAGCTCTGTGCTATGTCCCAACCTCGAAGGTCCAGAGAACACTCTGGAAGTCTTTCCGGGAAGCTTGACCCCTGACCCACATTCAGATTTGAAAGCTAAAGCGGGCTACAGGCTTCTCAAACAGCTGGGACCATTGACCAATGACACATTCCCCCAGCAGGTGGGGGTGCTAAACCACCAGGTAGAGCCAGCTCAGGCACCTGGAACAGAAAGGTACGCATACAGAGTTAACCAAACCTAAAATTTCCCCATTCTTTACTAAACCAACTGCACGTTATCTATGCTCGAGTAGCTATGATGCATTATTTGTTTACTAAGTTGCAAAAGTAAAACTCATGTCCTTTCCATTTGATTCTTTCTCCTGTTCCGCCAGTAATGAGTTTGAGGTGGGGCCTCCTGATCGTGACATCAGCCTGGCTGACATGTACAGATGGAAGGTATCTGCGTACGCCCCCTGCAGTTCAACATGTACCACAGGTGCTGCTATGACCCACAGCACATGCTCCGTTGTCTTCTTGCTGACCCTAGCTGTCTCTCAGTTGTGTTTCCCACCATCAGCACCTTGTCACACTGGCCCAATCCAGTCCACAGGATCTACATTACTGGGATGGCAAATGCAATGAAAATGTATCTGGATTAAGATTATTCCCCTTTGAACCACAGCGCATGTTGTGTATGCTGTTCTGCTGCTGGATAAATTATCAAAGAGGATTTTTTGTCCCACAATGCTTTAAAATGGTGCTCATGGGAGTTTTACTCACACAAAATGTTCTGAGGGCATAATGAAAAATGTTTGGTTAGTCTCTGAACCAATCAGATTGTAGAGGAGGTGAGTCTAAGGAATGAGGAGGCAGGACCAACCAGATGTCTTGGTCCCACCTCTAGTTGCTTAGACCCACTTCCTCTACAATCTGATTGGTTCGCTCTCTGAACCTCTCTCACTGATGATAACCAATCATTTTTCATTCTGCCCTCAGAACATTTTGTGTGAGTAAAACTCTCATGAGCCAAAAGAGCCAGTGATGGAGGATATTTCATTAGAAAAGCAAGTTTAAAAAATCAGCAGTTTTAAAAGCGTGTAATAAGAACATAAGAAATTTTCAAACGAGAGGAGGCCATTAGGCCCATCAAGCTCATTTGGGGAGAACTTAACTAATAGCTCATAGTTGTTAAAATCTTATCTAGCTCTGATTTTAAAGGAACCCAGGGTTTTAGCTTGCACTACACTAGCAGGAAGACTATTCCATACTCAACACATATTTACGCAGCGTGTAGTTATTCTTAAATTCAGTTTAAAATGTTCTCCCGCTAATTTCCACCTATGGCTACGAGTTCTAGTATTTAAACTAATATTAAAGTAGCCATTTGGCTGAATAGCATCCAGACCTGTTATTGACCTGGATCATGTCCCCCTTTAATCTCCTTTGCGCGAGGCTGAACAGATTCAGCTCGGCTAGCGTCTCCTCATAAGACATTCCTGTAAGACCAGGAATCGTTCTTGTAGCCCTCCGTTGCACCTTTTCTAAGGCCGCAATGTCCTTCTTAAGGTATGGTGACCAAACCTGCACACAATATTCTAGGTGGGGTCTTACTAAGGAATTGTATAATCGTAGCATCACCTCCCTTGACTTAAACTCCACACACCAAGAGATGTAACCCAACATCCTATTGGCCTTTTTAATTGCTTCCCCACTCTAGCCAGAGTGGGACATGGAAGCATCAACATACACATCGAGGTCTTTCTTAATCAGCTACCTTTATTTCAGTGGAACCCATAAAATATCTGTACTTTATATTTCTGCTCCCTGCATGGATTACCTTACATTTATTTACGTTAAATTTCATCTGCCAGGTATCAGCCCAGTCGCTAATTAAATCAAGATCCCGTTGTAGTCTCTGTGCTGCTAGTTTAGTATCTGCTACACCATCCCCTTGGTGTTGTCTGCACATTTAACCAGTTTATTGTATTGTATTTGTATTGGTGTCATTAATGTAAATTAGGAACAATAATGGTCCTAAAATTGCGGTACCCCACTATAAACGCAGGCCCACTGCAACATTGTGCCTGTAATAACTACCCACTGCTTCCTGTCAGTTAACCAGTTTATGATCCAAGCTGCCACAGTTCCTAAAATCCCTGCAGCTTTGAGCTTAAGCAAGAGCCGTTTGTGGGGGACATCATCAAATTATTATATCTTCCATTACCTTTCCAGTTATGCAAGTTAAACTGATTGGTGTATAGTTTGCTGGGTTACTTCTATCCCCTTTTTTGAATATGGGTGTTATATTAGCATGCTTCCAATCTGAAGGTACCACACTACTATTTCTGAAATAGTAATGTTAAAGGTTGGCTAATAATATCCCTCATCTCTTTTAAAACTATAGGTAAGATGCCATCAGGGCCCTGTGGTTTATTTATTTTGAGCTTAGCTAGACTTTGTACCTCATCAGCTTCAGTTATACATATATTGGTCATAAATGGTGGCAGGTTCTTTGTGTTCTCTACTGTGAACACCCATGTAAAATAATCATTAAACTCATTTACTATATCAATTTCATTTTCAATTATGCGACCCTTACTATTCTGCAGATTAGTGATTTCAGCTTTTAGAGCTCTTTTGGAGTTAAAATATTGGAAGAAACTTTTAACGTCATCCTTAGCCTCCAATGCAATCTTCTTTTCTACATTCCTCTTAGCGAGTCTAATGTTATTTTTTTTAGCTCAACCTGTAGACTCCTGCTTTGTTTTGAAATCGTTAGTTATTTTCCATTTGTGGAACAGAGCCCTTTTCCTCCTGACTTTATTCTTAATTTCCGTAGTAAACCACCTTGGCTGCAGTTTCCTAGATTTAGTTTTGCTGGAAACAGATATGAAGCACCTTGCAACAACAATGCCTCTTCAACAGTTTTGCTGTTTAACAGTTTACAGTTTCTAGTTTCCGTCTCATTCCATTAAAGTTAGCCTTCCTAACATTGTATATTTTTGATTTGGACTTTGCTCTTCGGACACTAAAATAAACCTCATTTAATCATGTTGTGATCACTACCATCCAGTGGTTCTAAAACCTTTAATTTTCCAATCCATTTTTATTGCTCATAATCTTGATATCGTCATATAACATTCTGCTTTCCTCCGCAGCTACATTACCTGCTCTATAACAAACACCGACAATTAGGCTATTTGAGTTTTTAGCATCTAGTTTTACCCATACAGGTTCTGTACTTTTATTTTTATCAGTGAGCTCTCTTGCCTGCAAGTTTTCTTTTACGTATACTGCAACACCACCTCCCTTCTTGCCTATCCGGTCTCTACGGAACAACGTGTAACCATCAATATTATATTCTTCTCCATCATTGTCACTCATCAATGTTTCAGTTATTCGTATAATGTCGTAATGAAAGCCTCTAAATCATGAATTTTGTTTTTAATACTCCTAGCGTTTAAATACAGACTGCAAAGGGTAGGCCTTTTACGGTGCCCACTTTTAATATTAATAGGGCCTTTCCATCTCCCCCCACCTATATTCATAACTAACCTCCCTGCCCCCCCAGTCCCTAGTTTAAACATTCCTCAACTACTCTACACATACGCCTCCCCAATACGCTAGTTCCCCTATGGTTCAGATGCAACCCGTCTGGCTTGAACAGGTCCCACCTGTTCCAGAAGGTCTTCCAGTGCCCCATAAACCTAAACCCCTCTTTCCTACACCACCATTTTAGCCACGCATTTAATCCCTTATCTCAGCTAACTTAGCCTGACTTGCACGTGGCACGGGAAGTATTCCAGAGACATTCTGCTTCGAAGCTTCTAAGCTTATCCGTGACTTCTATAAATTTATCCTGCAGAACACACAGTCTCCCTAAAAGGAGTATTAGCTCTCTCCTTTAACTCATTGTTGTGTTGGATGAGAGCCAGTTGCTCCTTGAGGTCACGAACCTGGACCTTGAGTGAGTCCACGAACTTGAATCACTCGCAGACAAAGTCCGACTGGACGCACACATCCGGAAGGGCAAACATCTTGCAAACACAACACTGAGCTGGCCCCATAATTACCTAACTCACTATGACCCTGTCCTTTACTCCCAGCCCAGTATATTAATATAGCCTATTTAAACTTTTAGTTGATCTAATTAACGTATAGTTAAAACAATAAAGTGCCGAGTACACTAAAACACTAAATTAAGACTTGCATTTAAACTGATCTTTTTAAATAATCTGATAGGGTCAGAGATAACAACCTTAGAAATTAAACTTTTAAAAAATCCAAATTAACAATTACCTGGTAAGAATTTCCTGCTGAACCACGTTTAGCTAAACTAAGGCGAAGTTGCTCTAGGGAGGCTGAAAAACCACAAAAAAACATCTCAAAGCAGGTTAAGTGGAAAAAAAAAAGTGAAAAATGTCCTTCCAGCCCCAACTGGCGACCGAGCAAAGCTCAGGAGCAACTGTCCTTTCCCAGTTAACGTTACTGATATTAGATATTACCCTGTGGGTGTTTGTGGCGAAGGTACACGGACAGAAGCGCCACTCACACTCACGCTGTTTATTAACAAATACAGACAAGCACTCACACGGACCGGAAAAAAAAAAATGTAACAACAACCACCCACATAACCGTACTGGCACACAAACACTCAAATATACTTCCAAATAATTCCAATCAACTGCTTCAACAGGCACACAATACAACACAAGTGCACACAGCATCTACACCACTCCCTCACAGTGCAGCAATCCCAGCAGCCTCTGCATTTCAATTAGGAAATTGAAAGCAGAGAATTAAAACTGGCACCATTTTCTTGACAATAAACAGGAGTGTTGTACAACATACTGGTGTTGGTATGGAGGTGCATATCATTGACCTGGGGGTTGGTGTGGTTCCCTGCAGGAATAAGCACATCGTATGCGCTGTGTGTCCGCTACGATGGACAGGAAGTCGATGACAGCTACTGCGATTCCATGACGTGACCGGAGCCAATGCATGAATTCTGCACCGGCAAGGAATGTCCACCAAGGTGAAACCTCAAATGTTCTGGGGGTGGGGCCATGGGGGGGATGCTGGTTTCTGCAGTGGGCGGGTTTTGTGCTGGTCGTTACGTGGATTAATGCTAGCTAGTAATGTGGCGGTGGGGGTACTCTTGAGGTAAGTGGTAAACGGACTGCATTTATATAGCGCTTCTCTACTCTTACGAGTACTCAAAGCGCTTTACAATTTATGCCTCACATTCACACATTCATACACCAGTGGCAGAGGCTGCCATGCAAGGTGCCAACCTGCACACCAGGAGCAATTTGGGGTTCAGTGTCTTGCTCAAGGACACTTTGATAGGGTCAGGAGAAACCAGGGCTTGAACCTGCAACCTTCCAGTTGCCAAACGATAGCACTACCTCCTGCGCCACCATCTTCCCGTCACGTCTCAGCTTGTCTTATGTTGATACCCTGATTGAAATCAAGAAAAGGTTCATTCCTGACTGGCAGGCTATAGTGTAGCAATTCTTAAAGCATCAATTGACGTGTACCCCTGTCCCGCCCCGCCCCGCCCTGCCCTGCAGATGGGAGACCAGCCAATGGAGTGAGTGCTCTCGCACCTGCGGTGAGGGCCACCAGTTCCGCTCGGTGCGCTGCTGGCGGATGATGGCGCCCGGCTTCGACAGCTCCGTCTATGACGACTTGTGCCGGGCCGCTGAGCTGCCCAAGCCCATGGGCCGTAAGGTGTGTCAGAACCGGGCCTGCGGTCCCCAGTGGGAGGTCTCCGCCTGGTCTGAGGTGAGAGACCAATGGCTGTTAAAAGCTGATGCTAATGTTTGGTCAGCTGACCCTGGTGCCCCCAATTTTGTCCTATAGGACTGGGTAGAATGTTTTATTAAATAACCCCTTCTTGAAAAGTGACTTAATACTTAACAATTTTAAAGCAATTAACAGCTGGAATGTAGTAAAAGTGCAGCAGTGATCTTGAGGATTAGGGTTTAAGATTAGTAAGAGATGTTTTTCTGTTTTAGTTCTAGATGCTTAGTGTTCGCATAATTTAGAGTTTTTGATATTCACACTTAGTCTGCGTGTCAGATATGGGGAGTGCTTAAGTGGGACAAGAATTCTGTGTTCTGGTTATATTATTCGTCTATCTGATGATGACCAACACTTTGCCACTCTCCGGAACATTCCAGTGCTCTGCTCGCTGCGGCGGGAGAGGGGTGCAGATCCGTGAGGTGCGATGCTCCATGGAGGCGTGGCTGTGCAATGACTCCGCCCACCCGGAGGCAGAGAGGGAGTGCGAGGGCCCGCCGTGTGACCGCAGGTGGACCGTGTCAGACTGGGGGCCAGTGAGTGTCACTCCCACCATGCAGTTGGTCCATTAACCCCTAATGTAATAATTGTTTTGAACCCAAAATAACCATGATTACCAGGTACCATGATTTTAGTCCTGATCTACAGTGTTTGAATCGTGTCAGAGGTCAGGCAGTCAAACAACACTGTGAAAGTACAAAAAGCTGCATAAATGTAGGACTAGGGGGGTGGGTCTCCAACCTTATGCACAGTGAGAGCTACGTCTACAAAGCGAATCATCTGGGTAGCAATATATGTGATATAATACAGGATTATATTTTAGGGGGGGGGGTCATGGACATTGTCCAAAAAAGAGCATCAGCATGGGTTTGTGATACATTTTGGTTGACTTCAGTGTCTCTGTCACAAAATAGTTTAAATAAAGAATGACAGAAAATAACAAGTGGGTCTGATCATTCATTAATTTACGAATTAGGTCACAAACCAATTAAGGTGCAAAGGGTTTTGAGAAACGCTCATTTATCAGTGAGTGATCTTAAGTACAAGGTAACAAACTACTTGCTGTCCTGAAGTTTTCGGGGGAATGCATCCCTGAAAACTGACCTCAATTTACATAAATTTATGGAATGAAAATTTGTTACATATAACATATTGGGGTTTTGCTATATAATGCAATGCTATACAATGTGTGCAAATGCTTTATTTACGCATCATGTGATGAAATTTTGTTACATTTAGTCATGTTATTATATTATATAATGTGATGTTATTACAC